TACCTACCTACCTACCTACCTACCTACCTACCTACCTACCTACCTACTTACTGACCTTTACATCTTTGGAACAATCTTCACCATGCACTGTTTCCAAGGTGGGCCTTACCAAACTTTCCTTCAAAAAGAAGTTTGATTGCTTTCACGTGGCTCTTGTGGTGCAGCCTGTTACTCTGCCAAGGCAGCTTTTGTCTAGTCCACCTGATCACGCTTTGTCCCATGTGCTCAAGAACTTGGTGACTCCGGACCTTTCCATGTTTACTTCCTGTTGCTCTTACAACAGATGATGAGTGATGCTTTCAGACTCTGAGCATCCAAACCAGTCTCCAGGCTGTGCCTCAGCTGGGTGGTAAGAGTGCTCACTTAGAATGTGTGAGGCCTTGACTTAAATTCACAGAACAGAAAGTTCCAATATAGTTTCTTATATGCCTTTACTGTCTATGAATTACATTTCCCTATAGATAATAGACACACCGGAGAATCACAAAGGAAGGCCACTCACTGAAGTCTAGATGCAGTTAAAAGTTTGAACTGTGACCTCCTAAAGTCATCATGAGGGGGCCAGTTGGACTTTTATAATAAAATGGGAACCCAGGTTCCATCCTTAATTTTCTCATAATCCTAGACAGCTTTTGGGAGTCCTGACCATTATTCCATATGCATTCAGCCCATAGCCAGGTAAGAGCTTTCCTAGAACTCGGGCACTTTCCTCTGTAGGTCACTGGCTGCAATTTTGTCACTTACCCACATTTTGCTACAATGGAGTTGTACTTACAGCTATTAAGATCAAGATAAAGGGAGGGAGGAGTTCAGGTCATTGGCAATCTTTTCTTAATGACTAGTCTAATCTAAGCAAGTTTTCACTTCTGTAACACACCCATCATGTTGCAATATTCCAGTTGTATCACCTGAGCAACAAATGTTCTGTCCATGAGTGCTGCATTGAACAGGAATATGAAATAAAATCAATTAACCCTACAGCATCCTTACTGGGAATCTTGACAGAATTAACTAGAAGCAAGCATAACTCTTTCACAGAGTAGCAAAAGAATAATTTCTCAGTAAGTCTTGAGAACACCATATCAGTTAGTGATTAAGATCAATCAACTCAGACTTGATGTAAACAACTGTGACCTGGTCACTTCCAAAAATTCATAATCCTAGTCTGCTCTTGAGAAAAAAACAGACTATTTCAGGAATATCTTCTAGAATACTCCTCAATGCTCCTAGGCTGCCAGGGGTTAGAAAGAACACCCAACCCATTGGGTTGACATACGATTCCTTTACATAAAGTACGTGGTCTGAATTTTGATGCAAAAGTCTTAAAAATTTTAAAGTTAAACTTTCTCAACTCTGCTGCTAACACTTCAGGTGCCAATTGTGGATTGTAGAGTCAAAGATCATGATCTACTCAACGATGTCATCACTGAATTATAGTTTTAGCTCTTTAGCTCAGGCTTGCTTCTTTTCTGTCTGCTGGTTTCTATGTAAAATGACGCAAGGATTCAGTTTCATTCTTTTGTATGTGGACATCCTTTCCCCATCTCATAAACTTGGTCATTTTTTGTTAAAGTCATTTTACTGGGTATTTTGGCTTCTGGACTTTCAGTCCTTTGTAGGTGTAGACTGATCTTTTGTCCCAGCAGTCCAACATGAATAATCACACAGAAACTTATATTAATCACAAAACTGCTTAGTCGATAGCTTAGGCATATTCCTAGCTATCTCTAACATCTTAAATTAACCCATTTTTATTAATCTGTGGACCATGAGGCTGTGGCCTATGGATAAGGGTTCTAGTGCCTATCTCCTTCGGCAACTAAATGACATCTCCCTGACTCCGCCTACTCTCTCTCATATCTATATTCTGCCCTGCTATAGCCTGAAGCTGCTTCTTTATTAACCAATGGTAATAAAACATATTCATAACACACAGAGGAGAATCCCACATCAGTCTTCTCCCATAGATTTGTTTGTCCTTCCTCAGGGATGTTTCCTCAGCAGATGCTGTTGGTTTCAAAACCAGGACACCACTATCTGAGGTTCTTTGGTTTACTTCATGACTAACTAGGGTGAGCAGTTTTCCTCTAGGCCTTACAGCAGTAAAGCCAACTAAGCATTGCTTATAACCTTCAAAATGGCAAGCCAAAATAAATCTTTCCCATTCTGATTCTTAAAATAATCAAACTGAATAACTTTCTAACTTCTTTTATGGATTACATATTAGCAATGTATAGAAACAGCTGTTTTTTAACTTTTTCTTGAAGTGATTCACTCACTCATTGGCTCTACCAGCTTCTTTTAAATTTCTTAGTTCCCTAAATGAGATTGTACAAAAAAACTCTGGGTTATCTTTCTTCTTTTCAAATTTGAATACATTTTCTTTCTTTTTCTTAATTGCTCTAAATTTAGCTGGTATCTTTTTAGCAAGAAAAAAGTTAACAATCTATCTGGGATTTTTAAAGTGTACTTAGGAATGTAGACTTACCATTTTCAAAATCTAATGTCACAGAAAGTGTATTCTAGTCTTTAAAGAACGAATGTAAACATAAACATTCCAATGTTAATGGTCATTAGGCTGGATCTAAAGTACTATTTAAGCCTCCTGCCTCACCTCCTGAGTACCCAAAGCCCACTGCCACTGCATTTGGCATGCCAACAGCATTTTAATGTACGTACTAGTACATGAAAGAACAGCTGTATTTGTTTTACACTGACCGACCAACTGACCTACCTGATGTCTATGTAGCCTTTGTTGTCCCAAAATACTGAAGACCAGATTGGCCTTGAACATGAGGCAATCTTCCTACCTTTACTCCTTAAGGGCTGGGATTATATAAGAGCCATGATGCTTTGCTGTCCTATCCTTACTCAGTTTTTAAACTGAGGAAGGGGCAGCAAGATGGCCCAGTATATAAAGGCACTTACCATAAAGTCTAATAATCCAGATTTGATTATCATTTGATCCCTAGAATTAGTGTAAAGGTGGAAGAAAGACTCCACAGAACTGTCCTGACTTACATGTGTGTGTTATGATGAATACTCACTCACAATGTTTTTCTAAAGAACTAAAAACAAACTAAGCATTTAACTTTAAAATTTATTATAAAAGATGCACAATGAAAGGATACATCTGAAATAAATTATAATAAACATCAGCAAAAACTATTATGTATAATCCCTTTGTTTATTTATTTTTGCTTTTTTTGAGATAGTTTCAAGTAGCCAGGCTGGGCTCAAACTTACTGTATAGCTAATGAATGACCTTGAACTCCTGATCTTCCTGTCTCTGCCTCCAGGGCTGAGATCACAGATGTATTCAGTCACACTCAATTTGTACAATATTTAGTAATATGCACATGTTCAACTGTTATCAGTGTTTGGCATTTTTAATAGGTATATAAGGCAGCATCTATTAATTAAGGTATCTAAATTACTGAATCTTAGAAATCTTTTAAATATCCACATAATAAAACTATACAAAAATCTAAACTCTTGACCTAAGTATGTGCCCAGTGTACACTGAGTCTGGTTCCATCCTTACCATCATATCACCAGCAAACCACAGCCTCTCACTTTAGTTATCATTTTCTATTCCTCTCAAACTTTCCAGCAGATACTGTTCTGTAAGCAAAGGCCTTAATGTCCCACCGAATACTGTAAAGAAGCAAATGGCTTCAACTTTAAGAAAGAAATGTATTTTTGGTATCAGCAATACAAAATTCACATTTATAGTTATATATGCACATAAAAAGAATTTATAGAATATAATTTAAATACAATGGTAGAAAGATAAACAGTTGTCAAATATAAAACTAGTCACTTGTCATTTGTTGTATATATAATTACAAAGTAAACGATACATTTTTAAATCTTTATTAGCTCAAAATAGAACCATAAAAATGTTTACTTAAAAACATTAATCTTTATATTAAGTACAGAATTGTATTTGAGGCCCCTTACAAATCACAACTTTAATTTTGGCAGACGGAGAAAGGTATTAGAGGAAAACAAAGACAGAGATGGCAAAAATACAACAAATACAATTCTAATCTAATACAATAACCTACTAGGAAGGGTCAAATTAAAAGTGCTTTTCTAACAACAACAAAAAATCCAGTGCTGCTAAATTATTATTAAATGCCACAAAATATTACCAAAATAGCTTTAACATAGGACAAACTAGAACTATTACTATTGTTACAGTGTTTTAGTTAAACAAAATCCAAGACTTATCAGTTATCTTACCACATGTACATAAATATCAGGAAATTTAAAATACTTTTACTATTTTAATCTTTTCTTGAAGATACAAGATTTAATTTATCTTGCATCAGTTATGTCCAAAGACAAACAGGAATTGAAAATAAAAATACTTGATGCAATGACATCATAATCTGGAACAATTGAAGTTTTCTACCACTTGCTCCATTTTCTATGTGAAAAGAAGGGAAAAAAAAGTTAAGTTTCAATACTTCATTCATTTAAATTCCTCGTAAGTTATTGGTACTTATATATGATTTAAACAATAGTATATACACATACATATCCTAGCATACTAAATAAATACTACACACATCCTCCCCATATACTAGGTGGGTGTACTGGCAACATAAGTAGCCTTTAACATGTATTTTTCCAAATTAATACTCCTATCCCTTCTATAAAGATCAAGTAAAGACAAGTGGGCTACCTCTGTCTTGAGAATGAGTTCTTACTATATCACCAGACTGGACTAAACTTGATTGCTGTGCTTCAGCTGCCCAAATCTGGGATTAGAGATGTACACCACCATACCTGCCTTAAACACTTAGGGAGAAAATGCTATTTTAAAATAAGCTATATATCTACTAAAACATACAAAATATTTTTCAGTTTTATCGATACTAAGGAGCCACTACTTATTATTATAGAGACAACCTAATGAAGTTCTAGACTTGTGATACATATCCTTCATATAATGGTCTTTGAATTAGTATTTTTTGGTTTTGAGATAGTTTTTTTGTAGCCAAGCTGGCCTTGAACATACTATATAATAGACGATCTTAAACTCTGATCCTCCCAGATACTGTTACTGCACCTTGGTCGGTCTTTAAATTTTTATAAGTTAAAGGTTTCAGATATTTTTAATGGCGATATTATATGGCAAAAGGAGCATAAAATGTTTCGAGTTAGCCAGGCATGGTGGTACACATCTTGAATCCCAGTACCGGGAAGGCCTAAGTAGAGGGTAGATCTCTATGAGTTTGAAGCCAGCCTGGTCTACATGAGTTTCAAACAATTAGTGCTACATAGGGAGACCCTGTCTAAAAATAAACAAAAAATAGTTTTATGTCAAAACTTTACCTGAACAAGAATTGTTTTGTCATAGTCCCTGCGATGCTCATAAATACACTGGCTGATTACTGCATACAAGTTTTCCAGCTGGAATATATTATATTCCTGACTTTTCTTAACAACAGTCCTCAAAAGATTCTAAAAGAAAACAAGCATATGTGTCAGATTAATTCCTTGCAATAAGTTTTTGCTTAGTGAACTGCTATAAAGGCAGAATGTAGGCAGACTAACTCACTGCAGAGACATGGCAGCTTCTGGCAATGATTGTTTTACATTTCCTTTATTCTGTAGCACCAGTCTTGGCCCTGGGTAACTCTTATTATTCCCAAACTACAGCATAAGTGGCTAATTTCAATTGTATACACAAACATCTCCAGACAAAATTTTTCAATAATCTATTTAAATATTTAAGGTGTGCTATGTGCATGCCCGCTGCCCAAAAGTGAGAAGAGGGGGCTGGATCCCAGCAGACTGAGTTTAGAGCCACCATGTGGGTGTTGGGGATTAAACCTAGGTCCTTAAATGCTCTTAACCTGAGCCAATTCTCCATGTCAGAAGAGATTTTTCTGAAGGACAAGGAAGCTAAAAGGGACCTGTTAATTTACTATTAGTCTGTAAGCCAGTGTGCGAGGAAGAGAAAAATGCCTAATAAAAGCATTATTTCAGCTTAACATACTTTTAACTGCTTATGGTCCACAACAAGTGAAGGAGTAGGCTGAGAGAGAATCGCCAGAGCCTTCTCTACGCTGATGAGATGCTGCTGCTCTACCTGAGACCGTCTAGCTCGAGTCATTCGCAGAATACACATTTCTAGAGTAAAAGATCAAACAATTATTGTTTGGTTCACAAACATAATGCCTAAGGCAAATAATAATTACATTAATAACAGAATATGTACTTAGGACACAAGCACCGATTTTGGGTTAATCTTTTCGCTGTAGGGTTATGACATGCCATTTGCATTAAAAAATGCGTATGGTTTAAGAAGTATTTGGCTGGTTGTGGTAATCCCTCCTGATCTACATGAATTCTAGATCAGTCGAAGCTACTTAGTTAAACTTTGTCTCAAAGCAAACAAACAAACCCCACCAGAAACATAACACTATCAGAAATAATTCCTCAAATTAAATATTTAGGAAATTCTGCAACAAGTACCTTGAAATTGGTAAGAAGGTCTTTCTCTTAACAATTAATAGGATCTGATTACTAGAGAAATCAATATTAAGCTGGGTGCGGTGGTATAATCTCCTATTTGATCAAAGTCTTTTTAAGTCTTTGCCCATTTACTTGACTCATTTAGTATTCCTTATGTAGTATATGGCTGGGAGGAAAGTGTGCATCTTTGCTTCCCTCTTCCCATATCCCCACCCTCTGCACATGGGTTAGAAGTTGGCTTCCATTCTCTTCTGTGCAGTAGTTTGCTCTAATACTGTGGTTGCACTCAATTAATTAAAAATTTTGAGATTTTATTTTTACTATACGTATACATGCATGTTTGGCTTATTAGATGAAAGGTTAAAGTAAAAATAATGCTATTTTTCTACTTAGTTATCATTTGTGCTCTGAAAGACTCAAAAAACAACGAATTGGTGTGACTTGTTTAGGAGTTGAGTAAAGGTATATTTACCTTTTAAGGACTTACCTTTTGATTCATTTTCATCAGGAATCTCTATGACCTGGGAGCTAGAAGTATCTCCATTACAATCAATTCTATCTTTTCTCAGTTCTGTACACTCTGTAGTTTGATTAGATTCTTCAAGTTCATTCTCAATATTAGAGATACTTGAGTTATTTTTCAAATCTATGTTGCTTTCAGAAGCATTTTGCTTCTCACTTTCTTCTATTGAAGACTCTCCGGTATTTCCAAGCTCAGTGTGTTCTGCACTTGTATGCTGACTTTCCTCTGTATCACTCCTGATTTGATTGTCTTTTGCTTGTGAAAGTTTCCTTCGCTTTACCTTGTTATCTACATGCCACTTTGACTTACTACGAATTTTCCTCTTCAGCTGAGCTTTAAGGAATTTAACAAAAGAAAAAGGTAAAGAATACGTAACAATTAAGTTTTAAGGAAGAGTTTAAAAAGAAAAAAAAAAGGTGAAAAAGTAAAGAAGTCAAGAAACCATAGTACTTTCACATGGCTAGAATACAGAAACAGTGAAGCACTGTGATAAGATGGAAAGGTTTCAGCGGCACACGCCCTTAATCCCAGAAGAGGCCAGTCTGGTCCACAAAGTGAGTTCCAGGACAGCCAGGGATACAGAGAAACCCTGTCTCAACAAAAACAAAACAAAACCAAACCGAAACAAACACCTGAGCAACGATATGTGAAAAAAACTAAATAACCGAAAGGTAAGAGTTAAAATAGCCTACGCTCACATAGCTAAAATATTCTGACCATATTAGAATTTCAGTCTGATGAGGTTAGCTACCATTAACATCTTCACTTTACAATGGAAGAAACAAAAGTATAAAGAACTTAAATAATCTGTCTAAGGTAGATACAGTAAGACTGTGCTTCATTGTCTTGGGAAGAGGTGAAACTTAACAGAAATTACAACAGGAGAACTTAGGGTAAACTTGAAAGATCATTATGGAAATGGAATTACTAGAACTTGGGAGATAACTGATTGGGTTGTAAAAAGAGGCAAACTTCAGCACAACACTAAGACTTTGTCGCTGAACGACTAACTGTATTGGCCGAAATGCACACTAAAGAGAACAATTTAGCTATTTTGCAGTTTAGTTGCTTGAATATCAGCGAAACAGATGCAATTTAGTGTATTAATAAAGCAAAGTGCAAGACAGAGGACATGGAGAGAATATGAAAGAACTTCACCAATGAAAATTACTCAAGAGTACTTACCAGGGGTGCTGCAAGCCACAGGAGTACAAGGTGCCTTTAGCTTTTCATTTTGCTCTTGATCTGACTTTTTATCACCAGTAGAAGTAGAATTTTGCTTTGGCATGACATGGTAATAAGATGGCGCATATTTGGAGGAGCTACAACCTTATAAACAGATAAGTTTTCAAAATTATTTCCAGAACTCAAAATCTTGCAAAGAATGAAAGGATTTATTTAAAGCATCTTCTTCAAAGCCCAAGCATTTCTCTACCTCTTTTCTTCCTAGATTCCTGAATTTCTTCACAAAGTTGCTCAAAGTCTTCATCAAGCTCTTCTTTAATTATTGCATAGGCAGTGTCTCTTAAAGCACAGGCTCTATGCCTAATAAGACGATCTGAGAAATAAGGAAATATAATTCTTAATATTTTTCCAAAAGTAAATTTAATATTTTGGGTAAAAATATTCCTCAACTTCATATGAAGAGTAATTTTACTAGAACCTTTATATTCTGGTTTAGGTGATAACCTAATGATTTGGATATCTGATTCAGTAATATTGTAGCCCATATCCAAAGTATTTTTCTGTGCTCTATTAAGATTCAAAATACCAGAAAAAGGGCAAGGTATATAGCTCAGCGTGCTTTTAATTATTTTAAGGAATTTTCAAATATATCTTTAATGCCAGCATAGGGGACTGGAAGAGGGAAGCAGGAGGAGCTCATGGTCACTCTCAGCTACAGCCAGGTCAAGGCCAACCTGAGCTACACCATATTAACAGGGGCCTAGCATTCTTTAATCCCAACACTGGGGAAGCAGAGGTAGACAGATCTGAGTTTTAGGCAAGTAAGGGCTATACTGTGAGACCCAGTCACAAACAACTCCAAAAGAACCATATCCTCCCCCTTCTTCTCTCTCTCTCTCTCTCTCTCTCTCTCTCTCTCTCTCACACACACACACACACACACACACACACACACACACACGTTGTTTAATCCTTGCTATTCTGGAACTCACTCTGTAGATATACTATGCTGGCCTCAAACTCAAAGATCCGCCTGACTCTGTCTCCCAAGTGGTGGGATTGAAAGGTGTATACCACCACCGCCTTGCAAAAGGAATTTTTAATAGTTCCCTACATAAATCATTCTAAGCACTACATTGTAGAGGTCTAATGATAGCCCAATTAACTCTATACACACAAGTATGTATACACACGCATGCACACACACACCCCTTTAATATTACTATTAATATTAGGCAAGTATTACACTCCATTACTTATGCAATAAAAATGTGTCCAGGCCTAAAAACACATGCCTATAATCCCAGTCATGAGAGGCAAAGACAGGAATACTGTCTCAAAACAGCAAAAAAAAAGTATGTTTTAACTACACTTTGAGAGATGGCTCAGTTAAGAGCACTGGCTGCTCTTCCAGAGGGCCCAACTCCCAGAACATATAAGGCAGCTCACAACTATCGGTAAATTCAGTTCCAGGGAATTGGACACTCTCATACAGATACACATGCAGGCAAAACACCAATGCATATAAAATAATAAATCATTTTTTTTTAAAAAAGGGGAAATACTTTGAAATCTTAAAGGGAATACTTTGAAATTCATTTTATTAGTGTTTATCTTTCCACTTTCAAGAAGCATAAACAAGCTAATTCATCTCATTAGTGTAGTTGTTCTCAACCTAGTGGATTACGACCTCACAGAGGTTGAATATCAGACATCTTGAATATCAAATACTTACATTACAATTCACAACAGCAGCAAAATTACAGTTATGAAGTAGCAACAAAATAATTTTATGGTTGAGGGCCAGCAAAACTTGAGGAACTATATTAAAGGCTGAGGACCACTGCATTAAAGGATATATCGTGTGGTTAATATTTTGGAACGTGAGTGAAAAAAAGTGCATTCAAATTCTTTCCTTGTCTGTTCCTGGTACTGTGACCCTGAATAAAGTTTTACTCTTTCCAAATTATACCTTTCTCAGCTGTAGAATGGGATACGGCTATTATGAGAACTACATAATTTAAAAAAAAATTTTTTTAACCCGACATTAAAAAACAAACCATCAGCTGGGCGGTAGTGCTGCAAGCCTTTAATCAAAGAACTCAGGAGGCAGGGGCAGGCAAATCTCTGTGAGTTCGAGGCCAGCCTGGTTTATAAGAGCTAGTTCCAAGACAGGCTCCAAAGCAACACAGTGAAACCCTGTCTCGAAAAAACAAAAACAAACATAAAAACCCATCAACCCTTATTAAATGTTAGGAGCCCCACACCACCCCTGAAAAGAAATTCACTAATGCTCACCTCCAGGATCTCGATCTGGATTGTATTCTAAAGCATTACTACAGATTAGATCAATATCCCTCAAATAGTCTTTCACAGTCAAATACTTATGTAAATCAATTTTACTGATTACAGATGAAAGGTCCATTGGTTGCTTTATCACAGTGATATAATCAGGAACCTAAAATTCAAGCAAATGACCAAATCACTTAATAAACTCTACACATAAAAATAATTAAGTTTTTCGGCAAGGGCAATACAGAGGAAATAGTATAAATAAGGATACTATGAATATTTTTGTTCTATTTCAATCTATTTCTGCTTTATATTTAGTTCTATTTTTGGTAAGTTATATTCTCCAGTAATATACACTATTTTGTTCCTCATGCCAACTGCAATCCATTCTTCAATGTTGACTTAAGAAAGGACTCTGCAAAATACTGCGAGACAAACCTGTAATCCAGCATTCAGGATGCTCAGAAAGGAGGATTTTTGAGCTCCACTGTAGCCTAGACTACATGGTAATTCCAGGACAGCGAGAATGGACTACAAAGCCAGTTCCTGTTTCAAAAACCAAAAACCTGACTCTAAGCTCAATTTTGTTTCTATATATAGTGGTAATACCATGTGGAATTAAAACATTGTCAAATTTCTTTTGTTTAGATGGGTAGAAAAGCTAACTGTTCTCTGCAACAAAGTATAGATTAGATAGCTCTTTAAAGTCCATACTGCTTAGGACACTAAGTTCATGTGTCCATATAGAGAAATCAAGTTCAGAGTAGAGCAGAATACCTACATGAACTATTCAAACTTTCTGCTTTTTTTCTTAAAAAATCATTATGGCTTACACATATTTCATCCAGAGAGGAAATTAGTAATACCTCATCAGGATCAACAGGCTTGGTAAAGACTCGGAATCGCTTATCAATAGCAAGCCTATGTGTGACATTTCTTAAGAAAATCCTGAGTTCTCTAAATGTATCTTCTTCTTGTTCTTCCAGCTGTTTAACTTCTTCTGCTGTCAGCGGTCTTGGTTCAGGTGGTGGTGCTACTGGGAGTACCTCCAAGGCCTGCAAAACTTCATGTGGATGGAAGATTTTAGTTAATACCCTCCACAAAATGGAGGGTAACAAATGACTCAAATCATACAGAATAAGACTCTGAGGGACTATTTTCTTTACAACTGATAGGAAACCAAGAATTTAGTCTCTATCCCTACATACATTCCAGAAATAACTGTAATTTACAAACTTTGAAAATACATATTTTTTTTGGGGGGGGGGGTTTGAGACACGGTTTCTCGGTAGCTTTGGTGCCTGTCCTGGAACTAGATCTTGTAGACCAGTCTGGCCTCGAACTCACAGAGATCCGCCTGCCTCTACCTTTTGAGTGCTGGTATTAGAGATGTGTGCCGCCACTGCCCGGCAAAAATACATCATTCCTAAAACAAGAATATTTTAACTATGAAAAGTCTTTAGTTTGTAAACTAATGGAAAAAAATGTGATGCTCCAAATATATCAAATTTTAATTTAATTTCCTGTAAGGAAGTAAGACAATGGATATTTAGGATTAAAAGAAGAAATGATAAAGGGGACTGGAGGTAGCTTGGTGAGGAAAGGTGCCTGCCATCTAGTCCCATGATTTGAGTTCCAGGAGTGACTTCTATAAGCTATCTTCTAACCTGTGCATGCACACACATAGAAAAATAAAAAATAATCTAAGCCAGGCAGTGGTGGCACACACCTTTAGTCCAAACACTTGGGAGGCAGAGGCAAGCAGAGTTCTTTGAGTTCAAGGTCAGCCTGGTCTATGGAGTGAGTTCTAGGACAGCCAAGGCCTAAAGGCCTAAAGGCCTAAAGGCCAAAGAAACCATGCCTCGAAAAACAAAGAAATGAGGGGCGTCCTCTCTCAAGAAAGAGTCCAACAGTTAGGAGCTTCTGTTGATCCTGCAGTGGACCCTGGCTCATTCCCAGCACTGATATCCCTAACTAGCCCCAAGTTAAGTAACTCTTTAGGCAGCAAGGAAGGATAAAGATAAACTTTACAAGAACCCAAAGTGAAACTGTGACACTGTGTGTATGTTAAAAAGTTTAAAAACCAAACACAAAACAGAAAAAGGTGGTGGTACTATAGGTAAGAACTAGTACTAGAGCTGGAGAGGTTGCTCAGTGGTTAAGACTACATCCTGCACTCACTTCCCAGAACACAAATCAGGTGACTCACAACTGCTTAAAACTCTAGTTCCAAGGGATTCAGCTACCCTAGTCTGACCTTCACCAGCACCAGCTCTCATGTGAGTATACCTCTACACAATTAAAAATAATCTTGAAAACAAAAAACACAGTTCTAAAAATGAGCCTGGAAGAACAGTCTGGGGCTATTCTATGAAACACCTTATGTGCCTTAAAAACGTTTTAGTCCATTTTAGCAGGAAGCAGAGGTATTTTAAACAGTAAACATGTCACCTTCATAATGGAGGGTTTGAGTTTGTGCTATCAGGTAAATGTCAATTGTATTAGCTGTTACTTACTTAGTTCCATTTTCTTAAAAATATTCTCTACTAGCTGAAATAACTAACCTGCTTTCTTTTTTGACACAGGCGGCTTTGCAGCTTGTTTTAAAATCAAGTCTTCAAAAAATTTGGTCCGTTCTTCCTTATCTGGTAACTGGACATTAAAAATCTCTCCATAATCATGGGTAAACAATTCTTGTACCTTAAAAAAATAGATAACATATACAGAATATTCATATATGCAAACACAATGTACATTACTGCACTTAATCCAACAGTATGTTAAACATATATTTTTAATTAAAAGTCTTTTAAAAGTAGATAGAGGTTGGGGGAGATTATTATGACATTATTTTTCATCTTTGCATCTACCATAAGTTATAAGAATCTAATAGCATTCCTGCATAACATAGCTATCCCACTTGTGAGCACTTTTCTCTTTTTCAGAGGTCATAAGGATAGAAACCAGGGTCTTGGGTATGCTGTATTACAGATGAGTCCAGCACTTACACCACTAAATGTAAAAATGAAATACTATCCATATATAAATTATGGTCTAATCACTGATTTACTGAAAACCAGAAAGTTAAAAGCTGAATGGTTTATTCACACAAATTATTCATTCAAAAATAAGCAATTCCTAGGTGTCGGCGTCACGCACCTTTACTTTCAGCACTCAGAAGACAGGTGGATCTCTGAGTTCAAGGCCAGCATAGTCTATTGAGAAAGTACCAAGACAGACAAAGCTACACTACACAGAGAAATCTTGTATTGAAAAATACTAAAAAAAAAAAAAAAAAAAAAAAAGCAATTCCTCATCCTGTGCCACACCCCTACAAAAATGTACCGGAATATACTTCAGAGTTTACAATACAAAAAGGGAGTTTAAACAGAAGTATCCTCTATGAGTGGATGCTACTGTTCCCAGAAGATAAGGTAATAAAATGAAAATCTCAGTGCCAGGAACATGATATCTCCCTACAAATTACTAGTCAGTGAGGCCTCAAAGGAACAAGAACAAAACAAACAAAACCCCACAAACCAGGGCCATTGCTCTTGGTTTGGTTTGTGTACCATAACTGGATGGTAAGACTCTGTCTACCACTGAAGACATCACTCAATTAAATAAACATAACACATCACTGTCAAAAAACATCAACCTGAAAACTCTGAGGAAACTCTACTTACTGGCTAGCTTACATAGTGTCAGAAGGCGCTATGTAGGCAGCTAAGGCAGAAAATCATAAATGTTCTTCTCACTAGGCCCACTACAACACTGACCTGATAGCAATAGTGAGTGATATGATGGTTATGGGAGTAACCAGATACTATCTGTTTGGATATAAAATCTGCTCCACAGAAGAGTTTTACTGTCTGGTATTGTAAATCTGATCAAAAGCCTAGAATTAAAAAGATCATAGGCCTTAGCGGGGAACCTACTATTGTTTTGATAAGTAGCTATGTTGTCAAACTGCATTCTAAATATTTATATCTATACCCATAGATTTATATAGCTCTCAACTTTGGTCAGAGAAGCTTTATACAGTGGGTAGAGCTTAATACATAGATTCTTAATTGGTCTAAGTACTGAGTATAAGCAACTGTGAATATTAAGCTACAGATGGGGTCATCTGTATCAATCTCCTACCATTAAGCTCACATATGGGGAGAACTGTGAATGCTTATCTTTGGACATGATGTGGCAGTTGCACACATCAACTCACAATAGATGTGGTTTTACCTGCCCATCAAAATTTCAGCATGAATGGGGAGGTACCTCTGAGGTCTTTCCTACTGGATAAGGGTCTTCTTTTGAGAGAAAGGCCACTGGTAGGTTGCTCATGCCCTAGTGGATGGCCACATATCCACGCATACATGAATAGCAATAATTAGACTCACAGGGCTACTAACAAAAATTTTAAGTCACGAAATCGAGAGGTAGATGAGGTAGGTAGTAGCACAAGTAGGAGGGGTCATAGCAGATTGATGTGATCAATACATATGGCATAAATATATCAAATCTTCAAAGAGTAAGAAACAGCAAAAAATCTTTTTGCTGATAAACTATAGCTTAGTGGCAGAGTGCCTGGTTGTCATGTACTAGGTATTCTATTTGATGTCTGGCCTGGGCCTCCCCCAAAAATCACACTTGTTGCCAAAAGTGTAATCTCACTATCTTTAATGAAAGAAAAAAAGAGAGACAGAAACATCCAAAATACCTATCACAGGGATTCAGACTTACAGGTTATAACTCATTACAAGATAATGAAAAGAACATGCAACCCATAAAGGAAGATGTTAAAGATTGAGTAATTCAGAAGGCACATTGAAGGCCAGTGGTGGTAGCGCACACCTTTAATCCCAACACTTGGAAGGAAGAGGCAGGTGGATCTCTGAGTTCCAGGCCAGCCAGGCTATGCAGAGTAAACATCTTGAATAAAACAAAACAAAATCAACAACAAAGAAAGACAACACACTGGAAAGTAAACATAGAATAACAGTTTGTCACACAACACTATTTCTGTAACAAAAAAAGTATCATTTTACCACACATGCACATTCTAAACAGTAAGCACATAACACAAACAACTAACAATGGTGTATTTGATAAAGACTATTTATTGATTCATTTACTTCAGTAGCACTTGAAATTTTACAGTGTAAAACTTAAATAGCACCCTCTCCCCCGAATAGGTTACCTCTTCAGGCAAAGATGAATATGGTTTGTCAGAAGTTGCAAGTAGTAAAACTGGAGCAAATGAAGGTATATTCTGTAACAATGTCATAAACGTGGCTTTGAGCGTTGGTCCAACTATTTCCCACCACAAGTGGATATGTGGGACATAGACTATGCTAGGTGCTGTTCTCTTAGCTTCACGAATCATCTAATAAGGAAATTAAATCACATGGTTGCAAAGTCAACACACAAGTAATACCAGCGCAACAACTTCTCAGAATTTTCACATAAAACTTTCAAAGTTCTTGAATTCTGCTTTCAAAAGACCCTTACAACTCTTTTAAAGTTTTAATAAAAGCTCCATGTGGGGAAAAACAATTTATTCAAGCAATTAGGAAATAGGCCAAGAAAACTACAAGACTATTCTGCTGCATAACCAAGGTTAAGGAATATAAATATAAAAGTTTTATGTTTACAGATTAAATCTAACATAACAATAGAAACAGCAGAATATTTGTATACTGACAGTCATTGTCTTAAGAACTTCAGTTCTCACAATAGTCAAATTATTATCTCATACCTTGCAACAGGAAAAAAATGAATTTAGACATCTTATAACTCACCCAAAGTCATACAGATGCTAAGTGGTAGATGTGAGAAATAAAACATATACTATAACTAAACAATTATACAATTTTATTTTGTAAACTTTAAGTCAGATTTCTTTTTTTCAAAATTCAAGTTCAAAAACAGTAACCCTAAATTTTGTCTCAGAATAACTGCTTTATTTTATAACTTGTTGGCTGGAAAACTTACCTGAGAACACGTCTCTTCAGGAGATGTAGTACTGATGCCAAAAAGAACAGGAATGTCTAATGTATATACAGTAAATTTTTCCAAAGCATGGATGACAGCTGGTGCCAAGTGAGAACTCTGTCCAAATCCTGGTTCTCCCACTATTAATAATCTTGGCCGAAAAGACATAGGTTGGTAACAAGCGTTTCTGAAAAAAATTAATAAGCTGTATTTTGGAGAAAAATTTAAATGTTTCCCTTAAATTGACAATTACAAATCTTCAGAAGCCTTGCCCATGTGATTAGTCAATTATAACATGGCTGAGTTAGCAATGATTGTCCCAGATTTAAGAATACTTTTACATCATGACCGCTGTAACACATTTTGAATTTTTCTTCTTCTTTTTTTTAAGATAGAGTTTCACTACGTAGCTTTGGCTGTCCTAGAACTCAATAAAGCATATTAGGCTGGCCTCAAACTCCTAAAAGATCCACCTGCTCGTCACCCAAGTGTGGGATTAGCGGTGTATGTCTTTACACCTGACCAAAATTTGCTACTTAAAAATGTATGTGCATGAGTACTGAATACATGTTTGTACCACCCATATACAATGCCTGTGAGGCCAGAAAACGTTATGAACCCTAGAACTGGAGTCACATGGTTATGAGCTACCATGTGGTTACTGGGAAATGAACCCAGGTTCTCTGGAAGAGCAGCCAGGAACACTAAGTACCTCTACTGGGACTGGGTCTCTTACTGATCTGGAGCTCACCAATAAGGTTAGCCTGGGAGTTAGTGAGCCCAGGAATCCTGGCTTCCCAGTACTGGAATTACAAAAACACACCACCATTCTCAGCACTAGATTTTCATGTTTGTAAATGCATGCACTTAACCAATAGAGTCCTCTCACCAGCCCTGATATTTTAACTTAAATAAAAAGCTGATTGGCTATCATCTTTCACCTTGTCAGACAAATTTCACTTAGTTTTATGGAATTTACAAACCAAAACATTCATTTGCTGGGAAAACATACCTATTTAAATGAAGAAAATTTAAATTTTCTTTTGCCTGATTAAAGGTCTTTTGAGAAAGTCCATTTTCATACACCGATGGTATATCATCATCGCTGTATGCCAAATCACTTTCTAGCAAAGGGCAAGCACCATCTACAAAATAATAATAAAAAACCTATCCATTAGTAATTTTTCTTTGTCATACTTTTCTTTCTTTCAGTGGTCAATCAAGTCTTATACCTGAATTTAAATCTTTGTTTGTTCTAACTTCCACATGTGGAAACACTTTCTGTAGGGCTTCTAAGATCATATGAACAGTATTTTGCAGAAGTGGTTTCACAATGGCAGACAGTGCCTGTCCAGGTGATGTCACAGCTCTCTGGGAAGCTGGTATTATCTTCTGCATAGCCATCTCAAAATCCTTAGCTGAGATATTAATTGAAGAGAGATCCAACTGCAGCTTCTCACTGGTGGTGTAGATCTGTGGGTACCGGCGACGTAGGGCACATAAAGCAGCTTCGGCACATATTGACTTGATATCTGCACCACAGTATCCTATCCCAATAAACCAAGGGGGGGAAAAAGCAAAATCCTCAAGTAAAATTTAAAAATTAAGTCTTAACTAAAATTTTTATAAAGTGAACTGAGATGGCTTCAACACATCAGTAACTTGTGAATGAAACATGCAAGCACTAAGTAAGAGCAAGAATTCTGTTGTGTTTTTTATTTTTACTCTGTGATCTTTCAAGACTCACTTATACTCTGCGGAGAATTCTTCATCTGTCCAGTGGTAATACTGTCTAATTAACAGGAATATCACTGTTTTCATAGCTAATCTGTTCTCAAATTCCTTCAATGATCAATCTGTCCATTTTTAAAAAGACTTATTTTAATTATGTGTATGTCTATGTGAAGGGATGTGCACATGAGTACACATACCCATGGAGGCCAGAAATCCCAGGGTACTGGATTCCTTGGAGCTGGAGCTACAGAGCTGTGAGCCACCTTGTCTTAGGTTCTGCAAACAGAACTAGAGACCTCTGAAAGAGCAGTATGTACTTGTAACAACTAAGCTATCTCTCTAGCCCTCAATTTTCTGACCTTTAAATTCTAATTTTTTGAGAAAAGGAATCATTATATACCCATGGCTGACCTGATACTCACTATGCATGCCAATCCTACCTCAGTTTCCCAAGGGCTGGGGATACAGGAATATGTTGCTACACCTTGGACAGGATCTATACTCTAATATCTAGGATCTTGGAGGGTAATACATGCCACAAAGGAGATAGAAACAAATGATCCCTTCCTTTTCAGATGAGCTCTTCCTTCTTGTGCAGTTGAGGATGGCCATAAACACGCAGTCTGCCTTCATCCGTCACTACTAGCACTGCATATGTGTGCTGCTGAATCTAGTTACATCTGTTGTTTTGTTGTGCATGACTACAGGTATATAGAGGTCAGAGGATAACTTATTTCCTCCTATCTTCATGTATGTTCCAGGGATTTAACTCAGGTTATCGGGCTTGAACTGCAAGCAACTTTATCCACTAGGTCATCTCCTCAGTCTTTTAAATCTAAACTTCAGGGCTGGAGAGATGGCTCAGAGGTTAAGAGCATTGCCTGCTCTTCCAAAGGTCCTGAGTTTAAGTCCCAGCAACCACATGGTGGCTCACAACCATCTGTAATGGGGTCTGGTGCCCTCTTCTGGTCTGCAGGCATACACACAGACAGAATATTGTATACATAATACATAAATAAATATTAAATAAATAAATAAACCTAAACTTCAAGGCAAGACCCAATTTGTTCCATCTTTGAAATGAACACAACATTTTTCACATGTCCTCAAAACAATATTTACCAACGCAGTTTTCTGCTAATTCTTCTAGAAATATATCCAGTGGTTTAGGATTCCAATCTCTTGTATGAATCTTCAGAATCTCCTTTCGAGCCTGTGGGGGAAAAAAACTCTAATTTTAATTTTTCATACCGATAATGAAGTTAAGTTAAAGTAACCAAGACCTAATATAAGTATAAGACCACAAAAACGAGGAAAAAGATGAACCTGTAAGCATTTAACAAAATTAAGCAGATTTCCAAGTAATGTGCCCAAGTTATATTCATCATTTATGTAAATTTAAAAATAAAACAAAATATTGCTCATTCTGGAGTACATTAAGTATTAAGAATACTGACAACCCTACTCAGTTTCTTTGTTAAGAATATATATTTTTTCAATTCTAATTTGTCTGTAAGTGGGTATGTGTACCTGAGTACAGGTGCTTTTAGATTCAAGAGGGTGTTGTATTCCCCAGCTGGAGTTACAGGTGGTCCCAGGTCACCTGAAGCAGGTGTTGGGGACCTAACTTGGGTCCTCTGACAAAGAAAGCACTCTTAACCCCCAGCCATTACTACAGCCCTACTCATATTTTATTATAAGCTTCTCAAAAGCATTAAATGGCTTTAGCCTAATTATTGCAGTACAAGGGTGTTCAGGAAAAAGTCACAGCTAATGAGCTGGCTAAGGACTAATTAAGCTACTAAAATGGAAGGATATGCTTAACTTAAAACAATTTTAAGAGCAGTCAGGAAGGGAGATATGCTTAAAGAAAATAAATGACTTCTACTGACTTCTTTTGAACAATCATGACATCAAAGTAAAGTCTTCAAGTTTTTACTGTATCAAAACTTGTTGGGCTGGAGAGATGGTTTAGCAGTTAAGAGCACTGGCCGCTCTTCCAGGTCCTGAGTACAATCCCCAGCAACCACATGGAGGCTCACAACCATCTGTAATGAGATCTAGAGCCCTCTTATGGGATGCAGGCAAACATGCAGACAGAACACTGCATACATAATAAATAAATAAAATCTTTAAATAACAACAACAAAAAAACTTGTTAGTGGGAGTAGAAAACAGCTCAGCGGATTACGGCACTTGTAACCAAACTTGATGAGCTGAGTTCTACCCACCGAACCCACACAGTACAGGGAGAAAATTGACTCCAAGTTGTTTTCTGATTTTCACACCTGCACTGTGGCACAAACACTCCCTGCCTATTTCCCTACCCATCATAAAAAGGGATGTAATTGTACAAAATCATTAAAAATAAAAAGTATTTAAAACTTTCTTACGTCTTTATCAGGTAGACTAAAAAGGAATTCTCTGTCAAATCGACCAGGCCTTCGTAACGCAGGGTCTATGGAATCTAGTCTGTTGGTAGCTCCAATGACTACAATTTCTCCTCTGCTGTCCAAACCATCCATAAGAGCTAACAGTGTTGAAACAATAGAACTAAACATAAAAATAAGAAAATAAATTAGCGTTATGAACAAAGAGTCTATTACTCAGAAATATTTCTTTTGGTAAGGTTTAATGTACAAACATGCAAAGGAATTTTCTTATGGGACCTAGCTACTTTTCAATGGAAAACAAAACACAGGGAAACTAGAGAGATGGCTCAAGGGTTTAAGAACCCTTGCTGAGAAAGAGGACCAAGAGTTCAAATTTTCCTTAAAAAAACCCATATAGAAGTCAGGTATCACTGAGAATGTTTATGGCCTCAGCATTGTGAAACAAAAGATAAGTGAAGGGCTGGAGAGATGGCTCAGTGGTTAAGAGCATTGCCTGCTCTTCCAAAGGTCCTGAGTTCAATCCCCAGCAACCACATGGAGGCTCACAACCATCTGTAATGAGGTCTGGTGCCCTCTTCTGGCCTTCAGGCACACACAGAATATTGTATACATCATAAATAAATAAATAAATAAAAAAGATAAGTGAATCACCAAAGCTCACTGGCTCACCAGTTAATCTAGCCAAGCAGTGAGAGAATCTGTCTCAAAACTAATGAGGGCTGAGGGGATGGCTCAGTAGTTATAGTGCTTGCTTTGCAAGGTTAAGAATTGGAGTTTAGATCCCCAGAACACACTCAATAGCCAGGATGAGTGTGGCAAACTTGCTTATAATTTCTGATAGAAAGCAACCTTGATTGAAGGAGTCATTATGGGGCTAGCAAGAAACCTGGCACTAGAGAAATTCCCAGGAGTCCACAAGGATGATCCCAGCTAAGACCCTAAGCAATTGTGGAGAGGGGGCCCGAACTGGCCTTGCCCTGTAGTCTGACTGATGAGTATCTTAAATGTCATCATAAAACCTTCATCCAGGAACTGAAGGAAGCAGGTACAGAGATCTATAGCAGAACACTGGGCTGAGTTCCCAAAGTCCAGTCAAAGAGAGGTAAGAGTGATAATATGAGCAAAGGGGTAAAGACCATGATACCCACTGAAACAGCTTATCTAAGTCTGTGGGAGCTCACAGACTCTGGTCCGACCGTGAGGGAGCCAGCATAGGAACAAACTAGGCCCTCTGAATGTGGGTGACAGTTGTATGGCTGGGGCATACTTTGGGGTCACTGGCAGTGAGACCAAGATTTATCCCTACTGGCTGTAATGGCTTTTTGGAGCCCATTGTAGGGGAATTTGAAGGGATACCTTGTTCAACCTAGATAGAGTGGGGAGGGCCTTAGTCTTGCCTCAAAGCAATGTGCTAGGCTTTGTTGACTTCCCATTGGAAGCCTTACCCTCTAAGAAGTGGATAGGAGGTAGGTGAAGGGAGCAGGAGGAGGGGAGTGAGTGGGAACTGAGATTGGTATGTAAAATACAAAAAGATAGGTTTTTTTAAAAAAAATTAATAAAAAAGATCATCAAAAAGCATAGGCATCTGTTGATGTAGCTCATTGATAATATCTTGCTAAAAGCACAGGCAATACAAGAGTAAGAACAACCTGATACATTTTATGTAAGTACTTCATGAAAGTAACCTTTTACCCCAAAGTGAGTAACAATACTCTTGCATCATCTAATACCCAGTTTTTTCAGTTACCCCCTAACTTTTGCAGTAGTGAGGATCCATCCTCTTGCCCTGTGAATTTAGGCAAGCTCTACATCACTGAGTTATACCCCAAACCCCTAAAAGTATCTTTCATGCTTGATTTGTTCAATTCAAGATCCGTAAGATCCAAATACCGCGTGTGGCCATTTGTACCTCAAATCCATAGCATTTTATGTTCCCCTCCTCCACACCATTTTTTGTTGAAAAATTAAAGTCATTTGTGGCCTAAAATTTGCTTTCTATGTTCTGGATTGGGCTGACTGCTTGCTGATGGGGTCATTTCAACTTACTGTTCTTTCATATTCTCTTGTAAAACAATACAGAGACCCCAGAAGCTTAGTTGGTGCAGGTTAAATGTCTCATAGGCTGTGATTTCTACTCAATTGCTGTGGCAGGTACATGCTATCAGTTTCTCACTTAAGACCAGTTTCATGAGGTTGTTTCCCACATCTATTTCCCTGATTTTATATTTGGGATAGGGGTGTGGCAAGAAGCACTGACAGAGTCAGTGCTTGATCTAACCAAGTCTGGCTTTGAACTCCTGATCTTCCTCTAAATTCCAAGCACTGAAATTACAGGTTTGTGCCACTATGCCTGGCTCCCTTCAAATTTATTAACTAATATTATTTCAACTATTGAATTACCCCAAATTATAATATGTGTAAGATAAGAAATGTTTGCTTCAATTTTCAGAGTAACAGTTGGTGAAGAGGCAACAATAGAGGTGATCAACTGAACTGAACAAAATTTGTTTTTTAAAGTTTTTTTTCTGTAAACTTTTACAGTCATTATTTTTGATATAAATTGTCCTACATCAGCTAACTGGAACCCTCCCAAGATTTAACTCCTCAGCTTTCCTTTTTCAGTGCTGCAATCTGTTCTAACCTGCTATTATAACAGTGTTCTCAAGCCATCTTAGCATTCAGTTACTTTTTTCCTTAGTAATAGAAAATTCATATTGAGTTCCTGTTATTTCAGATTAAAAAGAGGGGGGGATCTTTTGGTTTGAGACGACATCTTGCTTTGCAACTGAGTCTGGCCTCAAACTCACAATGTAGCAGTCTAAGACGACCTTGAATTTATGGCAACCTTCTTGCTTTAGCCTTCAGAGTACTGGCACTGCAGGCATTTGATACCAGATATGGCCTTGCTAAAATTTGGTGTTCTAATTATTAATATTTTAAATATAAATAAAAAACTGAGGGCTGGAGAGACGGCACAGTGGTTAAAAACATATTGCTCTTCCAGAAAACCCTGGTTCAATTCCTAATAACCATACCAGGTAGCTTATAACAAGCCTGTATGTAACTCCAGCTCCAGAAGACCCAACAACTGTGGCTTCTGCTGGCACACACACACAACATATACTACTCACACACATTATCTTAAAAATCTTTTTAAAAAACAAACAAGTACTGTGTGTGTGTGCATGCTACAGAACCCATGGAAGTCAGTCTGTTATCTCCTTCTACTGTGAGTTCCAGGGATCAACTACAAATTACTCTTATGCCTTGAGTGCATATTCCGTCATCTTTGCAGGATCTAATGCTTGGAATTTTATACTCATGAAAGTCTTACTTCCTAACATCATTCAAATACTTACTTGTAATGTCCTACATGTTAAGGCACAAAAGTTTGATTTTTTTTCTTTACTTTAAATCAGGGCTGGTCTCAAACTTGCACCTACGGCTTGCACATTTGAAGGTGTGCACTATTATGCCTAGATAGTTTTGTCTTTAATGTACTAAATTCTTTAAAAAAATATATAAAACCTAGAAATGTTTACTGCAAATTTTTGAGCTTTTGAGAAAGGAAAATTCAAATACTAAATTTCCGTTAAAATATGCATGTAAGTATTTGAAATGAAATATTCCTACTTGTTAAAATTACTCTATTTTTTAGTTAAAACTTATCTGATCTTTTTATAAAACTACCTCAAAATATAGTACTCAATTCACTTAATTGTAAACTATAGGACTATTAAATGTTTCTCCCAACACAATAAAAACAGTGGATAATGTTTTATATAAAGTTCATATGATTACTAAAAAGAATTCACAAATAAAATCTATCATGTCATTTAAAATAATCAGTTAACATAGCAATAAACTGTCATTAAGGCCAGTTATCTATCTATCTATCTATCTATCTATCTATCTATCTATCTATCTATCTATCTATCTGGTATTAGAAAAGCAAAACCTACCTATTAACTACATGATTAAATCTTGCTCATCTCCTACATTATATATAAAACTACTGATGTATTTGAAGACATGCAATGTGGTTTAGGGTATCTCAAAAAAATGGGCAATCACATGCAAATTGTGATACCATTTGAAAAGAAGCTCTGAAAAACTAAAGCTGACTTGGAACTGAAAATAACTTATGGCTGGGAAATGTGGTTCAGTTTCTCTGCATAATATGTTTGAGGCCCTGGGTTCACTCCTAACACTTCTAAGAGTTGGTATATTTGTAGGTTCTCTTCTAATACTGGAGAAAAAGTGTCAGGCCCCAAAGAAACCCTGGCTAAATCTAGTCTCACTTACTACCTATGGCCCCTCCTAGTCCTTCTCATTTTGGGACATGGTTCTTTTGGCCTCTTGGCCCTTTTTCTCTGTCCCTCGCTCATTCTCCCCATCTCTCCTCTTACAGCCTGGTTCAGTTTGGACCTCTGGCTGAATTCTCCCTCATATCTACAATACAACCCTTCTCAATCATACACAGGAGCAGTCATGTCCTTATTTTCATTCAAAAAGTACAACTTTTCTATCGTTTGCTTTGTTTTCAAGACAAGGTTTCTCTACATATCCCTGGCTCTCCTGGAACTCAGTTTGTAGACCAGGCTGGCCTTGAACCCAGAGATCCATCTACCTGCCTCTGCCTCTTGAGTGATGGGATTAAAGGTTTGCACCACCACATGTAGCTCATTTTTTTTTCCTTATCTTTAAAATGAGGTTTGGTATTCTTATCTTAAATCAGCAGAATTATTCTAGGAGATATTTTTATTTAGCCCAGGTATCCCCTTAAAAACCATTTGGGGCATAGTTCTCTTGGCCCTCTCTCCAGTCTCTCCCTGGGTCTCCTCTCAATGCCTGGTTCAGTCTAGACCCTTTCAGATGCCACCTGTGGTGATTTGAATAAGAATGGCCTCCATAGATTCATATATCTGAATGTTTAAGTCACCAGGAAGTAGAACTGTTTGAAAGGTTTAGAAGGATTAGGAGGTGTGGCCTTGTTGAAGGAAGTGGGCTTTGGAGTTTCCAAAGTCCATCCAAGAATCAGTCACTTTCTACCTGCTGCTTGTGGATCCAGTGCCTGATTGCACACCATCATGTTCCTTGCCATAAAAGACTAACCTCTGGAACTATAAGCAAGTCCCCAAAATTAAATGCCTTCCTTAATAAAAGTTGCTTCGGTCATGGTGTCTCTTCACAGCAACAGTGACTAAAAGACACCTGAGGACTGGGAATATATCTCAGTGGTAAAGCACTTGAACAGCAAGCTTAAGGCCCCGGAATAGTCCCCAGTACTGAAGGAAGTTTAAAAAGGACAGCATCTGCACTAGTTTGCAACATTTAAGATATTTAAATACTTGAGCATAAAACTTGAGAAAGAAAATCGAATTATTAGGTCTAATCGTAGACAGGCTAGAACTACAAATAACTGGCTTCATCAGCCACATTCTATATCACAGCCTTATTCTGACCAATGGCCTGTGAATATATTTGGGTTTTAAGTCATATCTTCTATAACCAAGATGTTAAAACTATTGATAACAACCTGATTTTCAGAATAGGCTCACTTTAAATATATGTATGCATTTGGGTTTCTTTCACCATTTAATACTTATCTTTCATATAACAGCAACACAAATCAGTCACGTTTTACCTGTGAATCTGATCTTGCCTGCTAGATCGTACTGGAGCCAAACCATCTATTTCATCAAAGAAAATAATTGCTGGGCGCATCTGATAGGCCTAAAAGAGGGTTCAGGAGTCCTGTGTCAACATTTTAATCTATTTTCATTCAAATTTGCAAAGAACATATAATTTACAAATCAGAATATATATACACATACCCTTTTCAATCTATTTTCATTCAGTCTTGCTTACCAGAATGTCATGCATAACTATTTTATAAGACTGATATAAATCTCAAAAACAGTTTTTAGAACTTTACATATATACATTATATTAACATAATCTTATTTGCATTTTCTTCTGAAAACATCCAAAATATTCTAGTAGTTAAGTATCTTAGATTTCATACAGCTATAGTTACTGGACATACAGAAAAAACTTCATCACTGTCTATAAAGACAAATAATGGAGGATAGTAACACTCTCCCTCTATGTAAGGTAGAAAAATATCACTCAATAAAATGCCAAATTTAAAAAAAGAATCTTAGTAAAACGAAATGAAAACTTAGCTCTAAAAAGGTGTTCAAAAAGATTGTCAGTGTCAGGCATGGTGGTGGCACATCTTTAATCCCAGCATTTGGGAAGCAGAGCTCTGATTTCAAGTCTAGCCTGGTCTATCTACATAATGAGTTTCAGGACAGCCAAGGGCTACATAGATCATGCCTTAAAAGCAAAAACAAAAACAAAATCCCCTTCAGCAGTACGCCCCAGTAGAGCAGAATGCATTATTTTACGATGTACCTTCAATACAAGCTGGCATATGAAACTGAAAGCTATTCTAGGAAAGAATTACATTCAGTTTCCATACTGTAAAATAATTTATTACCATTAAATTCCTCAGGAGGAGATTATTTCTCCTCCTTTACTAGGTATGAGCTCTAATACTTCTAAGAACTAAAATTCAATTACTCCTATCTCTATATAAAGTTGTTTGCTGTAGGTCAGCATTAAGAAATATTGACACTACAAAAAAAAAAAGAGTAAAGACATTGCTGCTAATGTGATTCAAGATGGCATTTCAAGTTGGCAGTCAAACTTGGCAGTACTGTCTATGTGGTGCTAGCTTCAGAGGCAAGAAGGGTGCAAGACCAGAGGGGAGGGGTCATGGATCCTTACTCTATAATGTCAGAGCAGCTGAGACCAGGAAACGTGGCAGGGGAGTTCCTGGGAGTTCCCTCAGAGGGCAAGAGGCTGAAAGACCACCTTTTGAAACTGAAGCCAAGGTTGTAACATTTTGGATACCCCAAAATGTTAGAGATGCCAGAGCTGTGACATCTGATAAAGGGAACTACATACAAGGAGCGGGACCAATCCAAGAGAGAATTTTTAAGATATGAACTCCCAGCTTCCTATTCCTGCCACCATGCCTGCTACTTGCTGCTGTGCCTCCCTACCATGATGGACTCTTATCCCTCTGGAATGGTAAGTCTATGGTAAGTCCAGAGTAAACCTTCTTCCATTAAAAAAGAAAATAAAATCCTCATACACTTGAATCTGTAGATTAAAATCTATATAGGTCAATTTTAATATCATACCTGATCAAATAGCAATCGCAGCTGTCTTTCCGATTCTCCAACCCATTTACTCAGACAATCAGCACCCTTCCTCATGAAAAATGCCACTCTTTTATCCCCTTGACTGCACTCATTGGCAAGTGCTCTAGCAACCAATGTCTTTCCAGTTCCAGGTGGACCATAAAACAAGCAACCTCTGTAAAACACATTAAACACTTTTAGTATTAAATTAAAAGGTAGACTACTGAAACAAAAATTAAAAATCACTCTCATAACCACTTTAGTTAATTAAAAATATTAAACAATTGAAGCAGTTTCACTATACAAAGAAAGTACAGGTTAAAACTTTGGGAGTTAATAACAATACAATAAGATTAATCAGAAACTAAATAAAACCTTTTTAAAAACATTGTCCTTTACTACTGGATCATGCACATCATACATATATTATATTACCTTGCATATATAATCAAGAAACACAATCATATAATTCTCTCTTGATTTCGTAATGGAGGAGATAGTATTTCAAAGAGAAACATACAGAAAATTGGTGTGTATTGGTTTAAAAACATATTAGTAATTATATGTGTGACTAGAAGACGACTCTGTAGAGCTGGTTCTCTCTTTCCACCTTTACAATGGTTTTAGGGATCAAACTCAGGCTGCCAGGCTTGTGATTAGGGGCACTTGATGCTCTTCCAGAAGACCAGCTCCCAGCATTCAAGTCTGGTGGCTCACAAGCAGTCTGTAACTCCAGCTCTAGCAACACAATGACTTCTGGCGTCCACAGGCACCTCCCACACAGGTGGCACACAAATAAAATTAATTTTAAAAGGGAAACTAGGAACTAGCACATTAAAAGGGGTTAATCAGCAAAAAGTTTAAGAGGACGGGGGAATGACGTAACCAGTAAAAGTGCTGGCTACATAAGTTTGAGCATCTCAGTTCAAATTCCCAGAACACACACATGCAGAAAGCTGGTTGAGGTTATGTGTACACCTGTGATACCAGTGTTGTGGGAGATGGGATAAAAGTACTGCTAGAGCATGCTGGTTGGCAGTCTAGCTCCAGATTCAGTGAGAGCCTGTCTCAAAGGAATAAGGTGGCAAGTATCAGAGCAGACACCTGACATCTGCCTCTGGCCTCCATATGCGTGCATGTGCACCTGCACCTACACATCCACTTACATCTCTCACACATGCAAAATTTAAGTAAAATCTGTAAAGCTGTAAGAAGTCAGAGAAGCAACAGTAGCACACACACATTATGGCCACAAGAAAAAGCACATTTAGGCTACCTTGGTGGTTGAATTTTAAACTTCTCAAAGACTTCTGGATAAAGTAAAGGAAACACCACCATCTCTTTTAGTGCTGCAATATGATTGGACAGGCCACCAACACTATCAAATCGTACCTGGAACGAAATAGGACACAGATCTGAGTTAAAATTAAAACACTGCCCTATTATCTCACAATCAACTGATTAACTGTAGTATTTCCAATTTTTAAAAAAAATGTTTATTTTGTATGTCACCATGTGTAAGTTGGGAATCAAACTCAGGTCCTCTGCAAGAGCAAAAAATGCTAAAAAGGCTGAGCCATCTCTCCAACTCCCCAAAATTTGTTTTTAAAATGTATAAAGATTTAAGTTCCTGATAAGAAAAAAAATCTTTTTTTAAAAAAATTTAAAACAAAAGTAAAGTGAAGAAAATTACACCTCAAGTTAAGCACAAATTTTAAAATACTCACTGAAGAATCTAGTTGCATTGGATCAACATCAGCAAGGTTTGCTCCAATTTTCATTCGATCTTTATAAATCCCTCTTATTTCATCTTTCCGAAAATTCAGTGGAAGGCACCTATTAAAAAAACACATGCACACACATGCACAAATACACACACAAACACAAACATATATATAAAAAGTCACACATCAGATCATCTCTTCCCTAAATTACATATCACAATTATTATTTTTCTTCTTTAAAAATGTTTGGGGTTGGGGAAAATGGCTCAGTAAGTAAAGTACTTGTTGCCAAAATGGAGGACAGGAGTTTAGCAAACTCCGAAATATATAGAATCTGGGTAGAGATGGCAGGCCCACCATAATCTCAGGATCCCCAGAGCAAGCTAGTTAGCCAGACTAGCCCCAAGACTGAGCCCCTGTTCAGTGAGAGACCCTGTCTCAAAACACAAAGTGGAGACTGACTATGGAACCCGCCCAGTGTCAACCTTCATTCAGATTCTACACAAACACGTGGTTGCTATATGGCATGATGGTAGGTGCCTGCAATCCCAGCACTTGGAAAATCAGGAGTTCAAGCTCCTAAATGACATAAAATAAGTTCTAGGCCAGCCTGAGTTATGTTAGACCTTGTCTCAAGAACAATAATCAACCAAACAACCCAACCCTCCTGATTCAAACATTACTTTCTGCTTGAAAATACTTTATTATGATGGGCTGGAGAGATGGCTCAGCGGTTAAGAGCATTGCCTGCTCTTCCAAAGGTCCTGAGTTCAATTCCCAGCAACCACATGGTGGCTCACAATCATCTGTAATGAGGTCTGGTGCCCTCTTCTGGCCTTCAGGCATACACGCAGAAAGAACATTGTATACACAATAAATAAATAAATATTAAAAAAAGAAAATACTTTATTATTAGAATTCAATATTGTATTCATACCTACCCACCTAGCTATAAATGAGAACAATCCTTGAATTGGTGAGAATGTGGACTTACTACAATTGAAAATAATCTTTCAGTTTCAATTAAAAAATTTCCAATTTGTTTAAAAAATTTTAAATGAAAAAAAATTATTCCCCCAAGCTAATGTTCACCAAGTTAATATTAAAATCTATTACAATCCCCTTTACCACCTTGGGGTCTGCAGAGACCTGCTGGGATCAGGACTTCTAAAGGCAAATATATCTGAAAGGCTGTGGTACAAGGCCATTTTTTGTGGGCTCTAAGGGCTCTAGAATCAAAAAGAACATATGGCTCCTTTTAAAGCTGAAGGTGTTTATGCCTGAGATGAAAATGATTCTACTTAGGCAAGAGATGTGCTAATGTGTATAAAGCCAAAAATAAAACATGGTTCCTGGAGTCAAACTGAGCAAAAGCAGTAATCTTGGGTAAGGTAACTTGGGCTTATGTAAACCCATTGGCATGATACCTGCCAAATTCTGATGCAACCTTCTTACATGTGTGTGATACTGAACCCTGACAGATTTAAACTAATGAAAAGTATATAAATAAGTGTGGATTTGTGCTTTAGGACAAAAAAAAAAAAGATCTAATATACTGGTATAGAAAAAAACAAAACTGTAACCATATGTTCTATTCTGTCATTTGTCTTAACTATAGATATTTCTAGTTAGGCAGTTTGCTTTGTGTTAACCTCTGGTGCAACATTTTAATCAGTTAGGCTGTACTTATTCATAAATTATACTACTTTCTCGTCATATAAAAAGGTATCTGAGGACCAGCAGCTTGGCACATGAGTAATTTCTGGAACCCACACAAGCAGAAGGAGAAAACAACTAAATCAAGTCCTTTGACCTCCACAGGCCATAGTATGCACATGTCCTGTGCCACAAAATAAATATATAATTTTCAGGAAAAATTATTTTTAAATATATTTGATAGTTTTATAACACATCCATTCCATCTCTTCTCCCAAATTTTTGTTTTTGTTGCGATCAGGCTTACCACATAGCCCAGGCTGGCCCTAGAACTCTTAAGCCCCAAAGCACTTAAAGGTGCAAGTCACCACACCAGGGTCTGAGCTCACCTGTTAGTAGCTCTATTTCGGTTCCTTTTTCTTCTCCTCTCAAAGTGCTCATCTTCAGAAGAGGAAGAGGAAGTAGAGTCACTACTGTGGATTGCGTGCCTTCGCCTAAACAGGGAAACTGAAATCATGATGAGGGAAACAGGAAAACGGCAGAGGACATAAGCATCAAAAATATCTAATGATCTAAAAAGACTTGTGTAAATTTAACATTTTCTCTAAAACAATGAAGCAAGCTTTGTTGGCTAATTTCTGGGGTAAAGACACAACCAAGAGAAAGGGAAGAAAAACAAGAGGCTAGAGCTGACCATCAAATGTTCATTAACATTAAAGAAAATGTCGGCAGTGAGTTCTTAGTCTTGAAACAGGGTCTCTGTGTAGTCCTGACTGAAATGAAACTCACTATGTAGATCAGATGGGCCTTAAACTGAGAGATCGACCTGCCTATGTTTCCCAAGTGCTGAGAGTAAAGGCCAGTGGCATCAGGCCTGGCTGAACATGCATGTTTAATATTATATAAAGTTTTACATTAGAAATTACCTATTTTTGAAATGACAAGTATTTTTTTTTTAAAAAAAATACTTTTAATCAAAGAAAAAAGCTATCAAGAAAGAAGGGTAAGCAAGATTGCTCACTGGGTAAGAGTGCCTATCACCAAAGCTAAACATATGCGTTTTAATTCCTGAGACCCATAAAATGAAAGCAGAGAGCCGACTTCCTCAAATTGTCCTGACCTTCCTATGTGCATAAACATACACTGGCACAGACTAAACATTTATAAAATGCTATGAGGTCTAAGAGTATACCTTAGTAGTAGAACGTTTACTTTTTTGACATGAAGGAAGCCCTGGGAAATAGTAAAGAATAAGATGGTGCCAGGAATAGTGGAATACACCTTTAATCCCAGCACTAGGGAAGACAGAGACAGGATAATCTCTTGAGTTCAAGATCAGTGAGTTCCAGGACAGCCAGAGGCACACAGTAAGACCCTATCTTCAAAAAACAAAAAGCAGGCAGTGGTGGCGCATGCCTTTAATCCCAGTACTTGGGAGGCAGAGATGGGCAGATCTCTGAGTCCAAGGTCAGCCTGGTCTACAAGAGCTAGCTAGTTCCAGGGACAGCTAGGACTGTTACACAGAGAAACCCTGTCTCTAAAAATAGAAAACAAAATAAAAAAGAATGGCCTTTTATTTAAAGTATGTTGTCAACTCTATCACCTAACTGCTAAGCATAGTATGGAACTCCAGTTTTCTTACAAAATAATATGTGATTAAGTTTTTAGATTAGTCAGCAAATAACAAGCCAAGTTCTACAAATACACAGGAAAAATGCCTTTGGACAGTTGCAAAGACTCACAGAAAGAAAGAAAATCTGCCTGAGAAAACTTTAACCATTCTATTGGCTTAGAAGCTACAACTTTCTCTCAGTTAAAATATAATGAGTGGGGGCTGGAGAGATGGCTCAGTGGTTAAGAGCACTGACTCCTCTTCCAGAGGACCAGGGTTCAATTCTCAGCACCCACATGGCAGCTCACAACTGTCTGAAGATCCAGTTCCAGGGGATCTGACACCTCCATACCAATGCACATAAAAGTTAAATAAACTATAAGAAATGTTTAAAAAAATATAATGAGTGAATTAAAATATAATGAGTAAGCAAGTATTTTTAGACACAAAAGGATCACAATCTTTTATAACATTATCTATACAACCCATGTCTAGAATCTATCTTTAAAAAGACTGGGCTGGAGAAATGCCTTAGAGTTAAGAGTTCTTCCGGAGGGCCTGGGTTTGATTATCAGTACTCACATAAAGGCTTTTAACTGTCTGGACTCTAGTCCCAGGGGATCTGATAACTTCTCTAGTCTCAACAGGTATTGCACAAAAGATGAACAGATTCATGCACAGGCAAAACACCCCCACACAAAATAAACCTCTATAAAACAGCACAAAGCAATTTATGGTCTCTATACCATTCACTGTGATTGTTCATAGTTTTTAACAGGAATGCTAACATCTACGGGTTACATGATAACCCTTGTAAATATTTCTTCAAAAAATCTGAAATTTCAAACACAAATGGTCTCTAGAGTTTTGAGTAAGGGCTTGTAATGCCAGACTAAACAAGAAAATAACCCGCTAATGATCTGTATACCCAAGACCATTTCTGTGACATCCTGCAGTCAAAATTATCTAGCGTAAGCCTGCATATTTAGTAATATTGCCAACACTCTAACATATTCTCACTATATGTAAACTTACCATATATTCATAGAAGCAAAACACATTTCACAGTTTGAAGAAATGTCAGATTTACTGACTGTTTTCCATATACCCATCTGACATATTTATTTCTCACCACCTACTTCTCCAACTATGATGTGTGGATCCCAGGGCCTTGCATATGTTAAGCAAATGCTCTACCACAGAGATACACCAATCAGCCTTCTCATTTAATCTTAACTAAAATTCTGGACAATATACATTAGTAGTAGGCTCATTTTATTTTATAGTCAGGGTCAGTGAGGTTCAACTGGTTTAAACATCAGAATAAGTCAATGATGTTGTTTAAATTCAAACCTACATCTTTTCCAAAAAGACAAATACTATTGGTGGTTTCTAGCTTATCTCACAAACCAGTAAAAGTTGTAAGCAAACAACAAACCTTGTGGACCAACATAAGGTATTGTTTTGTAAATAAAAGAACCCTGACCCCAAAGGCTTATCTATGAAGTTTATCACCAGATGGTGAACTATTGAGAAGTAACGAGATCATAACAATGTTTGGCCTCATCAATGGATTAGTCTGTTTATAAATGAATGGACCATTAGAAAGTGAAACCTAGACTGAGGAAATAGGTCACAGGGAATGTGTCTTGGAAGAATTTTTGAAATGGTCTTACTAAGTTGACTAGCCTAGTCTTGAACTTGCTCTGTTGCCCAGGCAGGACTTTTAATGTCAACTTAAAATACCTCTGCCTTAGTATCCAGCTGGGAATAGAGGACCAAACCACCAGGTCTAGCTTTTAACAGCATTCTAAAGTGTTCACGAGAATACCGAAAACGCAGAATCCTTCAAGTATAACTGATCTTGAGAAATGACCTTCCTGCTCCTCATTCTTCAGGGTTAGGTGAAAGGGATGATGAAAAAATAAAGTCATAATGTCTACTCATGATGCTGACAAAATCAGAAAGCCTAAGGACACAATTAGACTTATTTTTCATAAAAGAAATGACTCCTTAACACTTAAAGTTTCTGCTTGCAGGACCAACGCATGACCAGATCACTTACAGATTCTGAGAGCTGTTTAAACAGCTGAAATCTACGATTTCAGTTTTACTTCTGAAAATTAAAGGTATCTCGCATACCAGTATCATTCTTGTTTCCTTTGCTATTTATAAGCCATGTAATACTACTCAAACTCTGGTTATCCTAATTTATCAGAAAATCTTATATTACTCAAGATGGGAAAATAAGTATAAGTTACCTCTGTAAACTTAAATCTGAAAGAAAACAACTGTTGGGATATAAAAGAAAAAGAAATCCTCTAGTGAAAAAGACCACTTTTTTTTCCCAAAAAAATATAAGAGAAATAAACTATAAAACAGATCCAGAAAAAAGGGTGGCCTGTGTCATGATTGAGTCTATAAGTTATATAACTTAGACTATTTAACATGGTGGGAGTTGATGCTTGTGGCAGTATATAAAGAAAGGCTACAGTCTAAATGCAAAATTTAAATGAAATAATCTTTATAAAATATTTAACATAGAGCCTAAACTACAATATACACCAAGTCAAAGCAGATCTATTATTCAATGTGGTACAATGGAGTAAACTATCTTACCAAGTAGTTACTAATACTTTCTATTAATGAAAGCAAAAGCAAAACCAGTCACTGGCAAAGGGATTTAGAGCCCTAAATGCAGAGCAGAGCTCTTCCATGTATGAAATTCTAGAATTCCGTCCTAATACACTCAATCCAAAGATTCTAGAATCTTGCCACAACATAGCCAATTATGGTATCACAAATCAATCACTATTTCAGAACTTAACCTGTTTAGTCGTTTACAATAGGGACTTCTTGGTCCTGTAGAAGATAGTCGGTATCTTGGTCTTGCAGGAGAAGCTGGGCCACTATAAAATATGTTGGGCTTTCTCTGGTGACGAGGTTCTAGAAAAAGAAATATGAGTATATATAATGTAAAATATACTAAGAAATTTGTTCTTTAAATACTAACAAATGTGCTGCTTTCCATGAAAATGCTAGTAAGTATGTAAAGAATATTTTACTAATGTCATTTATCTATGGGGTTGATAGTAAAAGTATGTAGTAGGGGGCTGGAGACACAGTTCAGTAGTAAAGAACACTTGCTTTGAGAAGACCTGAGTTCCAGTCCCAGTACACCCTGAGTAACGTACAACCACCTGTAACTCAAATTACAGGGATTCAACACCCTTTTGGCCTCCATGGGCACTTGCGTGCAGGTGCAGTACATGGACTCATACTGACACGCATAAACAAACAAGTATAAATTACATATAGGACAACCAAGATACACAACACACTAGCCATATACAGTCATTACGATTATCCATGTATAACAGATATTGCTTCCCCTGACCATAAAAGCTCACAAGTTATTGATGTTTGGTATTAACAAAAATCAAAAGCATCTTATCGTTATAAACATAAGATCAGAAAAAAAAAAGATAAAAAATAAAATCTCAAAATAGGTCAAATATTTGTTTTGTTCAAGGCAATATTTAACTCTTTTTATATTTAACCAGGCAGAGGTGGTGCCTTTAACCTCAGCACTTAGGAAGCAGAGGCAGGGGGTAAGTTCAAGGGCAGCCTGGTCTACATAGGGAGTTCCAGGACAGCCAAGACTGTTACACAGATAACCCCTGTCTCGAAAAAAATCAAAAAAGGAAGGAAGGAAGGACAAACAATGGGATAAACTACCCTTTCATATCTAATTTAGAATAGAGTAACAACAATGAACAAATCAGGGCTGGTGAGATGAATTCTACAAAGACTGCCTGATAACATGAGTATGAGTCCACAAGACCCACATAGTAGAAGGTAACTGATTTCACCCCCGTGCACCACGGCATGTGCGCACACACACCCCACACAGAGTAGATAAGTGCAATAAAAAATGTTTAAGAAAGAACAGGACAGGAAAAGTAAGGTACTACCAATCTATCTTTCTCCTGAAAGATCACTACAGTACTTACTTTCCAGTGGTGCTTGGTAGTAAACAGTTGCTTTTCTCTGCCTAAGATAGTATCGTTTTTGATTATCTTCTTCTCCATCTTCATCATCATCATCTTCTTCATCTTCACCATCATCCTCCTCTTGCTCTTCACCCTCTTCAGATGATTCTACAATTAAGAATATACACAGGGGCCAATGAAATGTCTCAGCAGGTAAGAGTAACTGCCACCAAACTGACAAACTGAGTTCTATGCCCAGAACCCACAAAGTCAGAAAAAAGCCCCACAAATTGTCCTCTGACCTCCACATGCACTTAGCACCCCCACCCAAAATAAACACACTAAGTTTACAAAAGAAATGCGTCCAATACACTCACCAAAAGGTTAACAATTTTTAACACTGGGAGCTAGGAGAGAAAGGGATCTCCCAGGGAAGAAAGATCATTTAAAACTTTACCCACTTTTCCATTATTCATAGACAGAATTTGCAACATTAAGAATTTTTCAAAATTAAAGTAAAAATTATAGAATTAAAACTTAGAAGCCAGGTTTGGAAGCACATGCCTTTAATTTCAGTACTCAGGAGACAGAGGCAAGCAATTCTCTACAAATTTGAAGAACTCCAGCCTGGTCTATATAGTAAGTACGAGGCCACCAAGGTATAAGAAAAAATTAAGCCATAAAGTTTGAAAACTAATGCTAGTAAATACCACATTAAAGTTTACAATGTTCTCAGAAATCTCGACATAAAACAACTTTACCTAAAACTCTCAAGTTCATGTATACTGATAGGTACCTAGTTCTCTGGCTATGGGAATTACATAAGTCTAATAAATGCTTTTATGATATAAGATAGCCTCCACCGATGTTTAAAATATATTTGAGAAAACTGCTTTCACTCAAGAGAAAACAGAAAATGTTAAGCCTCAAAATTAGTAGTAAAATTAACTTTAATAGATGGATGGCGGTAGTGCAAGACTTTAATCCCAACACTTTAGGCAGAGGCAGGCAGAGCTCTGTGAGTTTGAGATCACCCTGGTCTACAGAGTGAGTTTCAGAGTTACAGAGAAACCCTATCTTAAAAAGCCAAAAGAATGAATTAGTAACGACTTTAATCATTTTAACTAAGATTGAGATATATGATAAACTGTAGTTTTATTATACAAGCAAACCAATTATTACCTTAAAACTGTTGATTTTAGTTACTTTCTCCAACAAAACACACTATCCTGTTTTGAGCTCTCCCTTGTCAACACTTATTTAAATTATAACCACAACTACTGCAAACTACAATGTCAATTTGAGGGCTGGAGAGGTGGCTCAGAGGCTAAGAGCACTGACTGACTGCTCTTCAAGTGGTCCTGAGTTTAATTCCTAGCAACCAAATGGTGGTGGCTCACAACCATCTGTAATGAGATCTGGTGCCCTCTATTGGCCTATAGGATATATGTAGGTAGATTACTGTATATGTAATAAATAAATAAATCTTTAAAAAATAAGTCAATCTGAATAATAAAGCTATTTCTTAAGTTAAAAATGCTTAAATTTGAAGCCAGAAAACAGATTTAAACAACAACAAAAATACACTAACCCACACTGCCATCTTGGTTATCAGTTGTTTCTTCATCGGCCTGTTGAATAGCCTTCCGCTTTCCTCTTGTGTACATATAAGGATTGCTCTACAAATGTTCAAATAAAATCCATTAACATTTAGTATATGTTCACACAAAAGTTATTTTTTAAAGGAAGACCCAACTATAAACAAATTCTAGCAGTAATTTTTGAATATAACAAATGTTGAACAAAATGATTAATTACTACCTTTAAATGGATTATGCACTAAACAGGGATTAAGTCACCACCGAATCTTACCTCTTCTGCTTCATTAAACACTCCCAAATCTTCAAGTTTTTTCATCCGCTGTCGACGCATCTTTTTCATGTCATCCATCTTCTGAAGTACAGCTTCAGCAGTGCTTTAAAAAATAGTAATAAAAATATTTCAGCAAGAAGCACTGACTTAACTTGGTAAAATATTCAAACACTTCTCTCCATTAACTTAAACACACAAACAGAATAAAGGGTTACCAAAAGCCATTCTCCTGCATGTTTCACATAAATCAAACAGATTACAGTATTCAGGACAGGGTCAGGGGTGTAGCTCAATAGTATTGCACTTCCCTGGCATACACAAAATAGATATTCAATCCCTAATAGAATATCTATTTGGATAGATATTCAAATCTGCGGGAAAAGGGAGGCGGAAGTCATAGTGGTGGCAGATACCTTTGGTCCTAGTACTTAGTAGGCAGAAGCAGGCAAATCTGAGTTCAAGGGCAGCCAGCTACACCGTTTTTGTGTGTTGTGTGTGTGGGGGTGTTAGTAAAAACTCACAATCTGTCTTGAATATAGATTGTTCCAGATACATAGTTTTGATCTTAAGCATTTGTACTTACTTTGTTATAAGCTTGTCAAATAGCACAGACTGGTTCACAGTACTGTAACGACTTCTAATCCTACAACTTCTTCGAACTTCAACATCTCCATTCTGTTCACGCAAATGTTCTGTACTCTGAGCAATGTTTCTATTCCTCAATGAGTGAGTAACTGAAATAACTTTGTCTTCATAGATGTGTACAGAAAAACATAATAAGCATTAGCAAAACAACTTGAAAATGCACAGGACAGCTACTTTAATACAGCAAAATTATACCACCTCAAACTTGTTTTTCTAGAAAAAATTTTAAGTTACAACATATCCCTATGGTATGAGCTAATGCACTTCAGAGAAGAAATGTCATATAAAGACTTGTATCAGACAGTTTAAAGCAGCTTGCGATAGTTCTATCAAAAGAAGATGAGATAGAGCTAGGTGTAGCAGAGCATGCCTGCAATTCCCCACCATCAAGAAGCTCAGGCAGATCCTGAGTTTTTTAAAAGATCAGCTTGGGTAGTAAATCATGGCATATTCATAACAGAATCTACCCAGCCACAAACGTAGCCACATAGACAACCACTTAATTAATTTTGTTGAATGAAATGATATAAAATATCCTGCATGATTTAGCTTACATAAACCTCTAGGTAATGCAAACTAATCTACAGCAACAGAAAACAAGCCAGGCAGTGGTGGTGCACACCTTTAATCTCAGCATTTAGGAACCAGAGGCAGGTGGATCTCTGAGTTCTAGGCCACCCTGGTCTACAGAGCTAGTTCCAGGACAGTCAGGGCTACTCAGAGAAACCCTGTCTCTGCGGGAGCAAAAAAGAACATTGGTGATTACTTTGGAACCAGAGGGCAAGGCAGGAATTGGAAGAGTCAAGATAGATTATATAAGAGTGTCTTAGTCACTGTTCTATTGCTGTGACAAGACAGCATGACCAAGGCAACTCTTAACCACCACCACCCCTGCAAAACATGAAAGCATTTAACTGGGGGACTGCTTAGTGTAAGAGGTTTAGTCCATTATTATCATGGACTGGAGCATGATGGCATGCAGGCAGTTTGCTGAAGCAGTAGCTAAGAGCAACATCTTTTTTTTTTTAATATTTATTTAATTACTATGTATACAATATTCTGTCTGTGTGTATGTCTGCAGGCCATAAGAGGGCACTAGACCTCATTACAGATGGTTGTGAGCCACCATGTGGTTGCTGGGAATTGAACTCAGGACCTTTGGAAGAGCAGGCAATGCTCTTAACCTCTGAGCCATCTCTCCAGCCCTAAGAGCAACATCTTGTTCACTAGATGGAGAAAGGGAAACTTTTGAAACCTCTAAAGCCCACCCCAAGTGTCAGTTACTTCTCCTAAGGCCATATCTTCTAATCATCCTAATTCTATCAGAGTTCCGCCCCCTGGAGATTTAGCATTCAAACATAGGAGCCTATAGCGGCCATTCTTATTCAAACCACCACAGGTGTTTGAAGAAACTTTTAAGGGTAAAGGGTATCTTTACTATATTAGTATATAATGGCTTCTTTTACATACTATGTCAAACCTAACAAAGTACACACTTTATGCAAGGCTATTATACGTGCTCCAATCGACCTATAAACATTATGAACCACGTTTTAAAAAGCTGAAGTGCTGTTAGCACAACTTACCTTCTTTGCACTCTTCTTTTTTTTTATCAGCCTGCTGTCGAGCCAACTGCCTATATAAAAAATATGTTAAATGAATTAAAAATAATATTGACAAGATATTTAAATCCTACATTCTATACAACAAGCTAAGGTGGAAAGTTAAGTCAAAAAATTAAAAAACTCAAGACACTTAAAAAATCCAAGAAACATTATAAACATCTACATGTTATGATTAAACAAATGTTTATTTTGAATTCAATGACTAATCCATTTATTTTTGTTTTTTGCGACAAGGTCTCACATTGTAGCCCAGTTTGTATGTAAACTAATGGCAATACTCCCGCTTTAGCCTTCATTTTTATTTATTTTTAATTACGTGTTTGTATATGTGGAGTCCCTAAGAAGGTGTTGGATAGTCTGGAGCTGAAGTTACAGACTATTTTGAGACTCCTTATATGGCTGCTAGGCATTGCATTTGTGTCTTAGTTGCGGAGAAATATCTCCAGCACCAGTGTGCACTACCACACTGCCTACTAACTCGTAGACAAACAGAAAAATCAAGTCAAAGCATCTCATTTGATATAAGAAATGAAATTCTTGGACTAAATATTTAAGTAGTTGAAGAAAACATTGCATAAAAGCATGCTTCACACATATCCATAGCAATCTAATAACCTTGAGAAATTTAGAATTCTAAAGAGAATTAATGGCCCTTAGAGATATGTTAATTGTTTTCTATGAACAGTTGCTTGCTTGAAACTAATCCCAGCATTTGAGAAACTGGATCAAGCAGATCACCAGAGAATGCTCACAAACTAAGAAAGCTAAGGCACACTGATTTCTGGGTGCAAGGACAGCCTGGTCTATAATATCAAGGACAGCCAGGGATTTACAGGGAGAGCTTGTCTCAAAAAGTAAATCATGAATAAAAACAAAGGGACAACCACGAGTTCAAGGCCAGCTTTGAGTGAATAATGAATTTGAGGCAAGGCTCAAGTAGAGAATTGTCTGAAACTAAACATCCACTCCACGCAATCAATCAATCAATAAAAATTTGGTGTAGAAAGTCTACTGAATGGGGAGGGAGGAATCAAGCCTAAAAATCAGGACTCCATCATCTTTCAAATCCTATAAATATTAGCTTAAATTTATGGGCATTATTCTCCATAAGCACAAACATTATTCTTTAAAATGAAACAAGGACTAGAATACAGTTCAGTGGGGGGAGGGGACCACATCCTAGTTATGTCTAAAAGGTCTGGGTTCTATTTTCAGCATCAAAAACAAAGAAAGAAAATAAAAAAAAATATACAAATCAACACAGTACCTGCTGCACAAGCATGAAGATCTGAGTTTGGATTCCCAGTACCCGACTAAAAGCTGGGAGTATTATAGCACAGCTATATTATCAACACTGGGGTTGGGGTGGAGGTGGGCTGAAACAGGCAGATCTCCAGGTTACTGACTAGCTAGCCTGGCTGAAGTGATGAGTTCCAGGCTCACTGAGAATTCCTACCTTAAAATAAGGTAGAGAGCTGTGGAAGACACCCAACATGGACATCTGGTCTACAAAAATTCATGCATGCCCCTACACACGTTTTGGTTTGCATACACCAAAACATGATCTCATCCTACACAAACATAAAAGAAAACTTTCTAGAACACTTCACCCATATATCCTTTGAAATGTGTGAATAGTATTAACTCCGTACCTTTCTTGGGACACAGGTAAAACCAAAGAGAAAATAAAGGTTTTTAATTTAAAGCAGGGCTAGTAAGATGACTCAGTGGGTAAAAGCACCTGACACCACAAGGCTGTTGACCTCAGTTTAATCCCTGGAATCAACATAGGGGAAGGAAAAAGTTGTCATCTGCATGTATACACGCTCAATCAATAAGCATAAGGAAAAAAAGGTTTGAAAGGTTTGAGTAATTCATTGAGTTAGTTTAGGCTGGTAAATTTTCGTTCTCAAGGAGTCCTGCCCATCAAACCATGTAAAACACTTCTGAAGTAATTAAAGTAGTAATTTTTTTGTTGCTATCTTACTGAAACAGATGGGTTTTTAATTTTACAGAAATTATTAACTTTTTTGTGAAGTAGCTGGATAGTCTATATAATATTCTTCAGCCATTCTGTGCCTGACAAAACCATTGGATACTGTGGCATCAAAGCAGCCATATGGGAATAAGCCCACGGAGCCAACAAAATCTGTAAAACCAGGTGGCTGCACTTCAACGCCTATGAACTTAATTTCCTAGGAAAATGCATATACAAGCTAAAACATTTCACAAATCTCATGTATTCCCTGAAGACCACTGGTGTGCTCTCTGGATTCTAGTCAAGCACACCATGATCAAAGAGATAGATAGATAGATAGATCGATCTTTCAGACACAAAGAGATGGAAAATGTGGTAAAAAGGAATGAAAACAAGTTACAATATAGGGTGCTGTCAACAATGAAAAGGGAAAGAGCAGGAAGAGTATATCATCAAGAGACCCTGTGGAGAACAAAGAGGACCCTCCACATCAATCTCTGGCCTCCACATGCATCCACATCCACAGACCTGCCTACACACTCACATGCACAACACATGTAAAGTAGTAAATACATAAAGTAAAATGGAAAAAAAAATCAAGTTTAAAAAATATTATTTCAAAAGCAATTTGAATTAGTGGTCAAACATCTTGTATTACCTTGTAAAATGTCTGCCATTAGTAGTGTGTTTCTCTGTTCTTTCCATATTCTTATCAGAACTAGAATCTGAAGAAATCTGTTCTTTTTTCCTCAAAGATCTTAAAGAATGCGTATGGCGGTACCTTTCAACTCCCTTAACTGAGGAGCCATCCTTTAAGAAAAATTAAGAATGTCGTTATAAGTTTGACTTTATTAGTTAAGGCCAACTTTAAGTCCTAAGAATCTTCTCTGATTATAAGTTAGTAATAGTTGTTTTTAGTTTCTCCAAGAAACAATAACTCAAACAATTATTTCATTACAAGAATCAGTAAAGGCTATGGAACTTAAAATACAGCATTTACTACCAGGCCTGGTAGGTGGTGATCAGAAGTTCAAGGTCATCCTCAGTTACAGATGTGAGGCTGAGCTGGAAATACCCATACCAAAGAATATATAAGGTCAGCTAGGTGCTTCAATGTTAAAAAGAATTCGCTTCCAAGTCTGAAGATCTGAATTAAAATCCCAGGACCCAAATGGTGGATGAGAACAGACTCTTACAAGTACAAGTTGTCCTGATTTCCTCATGTACACATACACACACACACAAAAAAAATTAAATTAAAACGTACATATGTATATATCAAAAGGAACTACCAACGGAATAAAAAGGCAACCCACTGAATGGGAGAAAATATATCTACTATATACACACAATATTTCTTCTTTTGATTTATTGAGTTATGGGGCACTGATGGCACTCGCCTTTAATCTCAGCACTCAGGAGACAGAGGCAGGTGAATCTTGGTGAGTTAAAGTTCAGCCTGTTCTACAAAGCAAGTTCCAAGGCAGCTAGGACTGTTACACAGAGAAAACCTGTCTCAAAAACAAACAAACAAATGAAATATTGAACTGGTCAGTAATGGCATACACCTTTAATCCTAGCACTTGGGAGGTAGAGGCAGGTGGATCTCTTTGAGTTCAAGGCTACCCTAGTCTACAGGCCAACCAGGGCTATTACACAGAGAAACCCTGTGTGATTATTTTATTTGTGCTATAGAACAAAGCTTGCCTGAAGATCAGAGTGTGGAGCTAGTCACACTGGTTAGCAAAGGAAGGCAACAGATAGTTCTCCCAAAAAAATACAGCTAGCCAATAAATGGAAATATGCTTAACATCGTTAGTCATTACTGAAATGCAAATAAAGCAACGATATATCATCTTACACTTAATAGAATATTTATCTTCCCCCTCCCCAAGCCAGGTATGGTGGTGGAACACATTTTTAATTCCAACACTTGAGACCTGGACAAGGCTAGGTTGGTCCAGGACAGCCAAGGCTATACCAAACAAACAAACAAACAAACAAAACAAAACAAACAAAAAAAACCACAAAAACCCACTCTATCATGAATAACAAACAAAGATTTTGAAAAATGGCATACATGGCTGGCTGGGCCATGCTTGCCTAGCTTACTCAAACTCCACAAAAGTGTAGGTGAATACAACCCAAAGTTCTTGTACAATCAACACCCCCCACACATATACACATATACCTGGTTCTACTACCCAGCCTTAACTGGTTCTTCACAAACAAAAACCCCCAAATTTCCTGATATCAAAAAGTTACAGACTTGTCAAAGCACAAAAATTGATAATGGCTAGTTAACTCATAAGAAAAAAACAAAACAAAACCCAACCCGGGCAGTGGTGGCACAAGCATTTAATCCCAGCACGCAGGAGGCAAGACAGGCGTATCTCTTTGAGTTCAAAGCCAACCTGGTCTACAAAAGCTAGTTCCAGGATAGGCTCCAAAGATAGAGAGAAACCCTGTTTCGAAAAACCAAAACCAAACCAAACCAAAAAACACCCACAAATCCCAACCGATAGATACCAGCCAAAATGTCAAAGCAGCAGTGCATTAAGGGCTGCAGTGATGTTGGCTCAGAAACAAACAAACAAACAAACAAACAAACCTATTTCAAGCTTGGGCTGGACAGAATGGCTCATACAAAGAGGTTCTGCTATCGACAATGTGGTGATTGAGAATACACCATCAGTTTCACAAGCACAACAAGAAGTGTTCCCTTCAGGCACTCAAAGAAATCCAGAAATTTGGCATGAAGGAGATGGTGATTCCAGACGTACACACTGACAACAGGAACATTCCACATCACATTTGTCCAGAAAATGTAATGCAGGTGAGGATTCACCAAACAAATTACATACTGGTAACTTAAGCGCCCCCTACCACATTAAAAAACCTACAGTCAATGTAGATGAGAACTAACCTGCTCAAAGTCAAACAATGTTACAGAAATGCCTCAAATAAATAAGTAAATAAAAGGAAAAAGAGAAAAAGATGCTATGTAGTTATGGGTCACCCTCAGTACCTTCTGGATTTAAAGGTACTCTACTATTAAACCAAGAAAAGTCAAATTAATGAATTAGAATGACTATATTTAACTACCTGAAGAAGTACCATTTCTACCATCTGTTGATAAATAAAACTGAGAATTAGGAAGTTTTCAAATATCAGGGTAATGGGAGTTTAAGTCTTTGAAACATACATTTGATTTCAAGGACCAGACTGAATACAAAGCCTCCACATTAGAAAGCTTTTCAGACACAAAGCAATCCTATTCTTGGTACTGATGGGGTTTGTAATAGGAATCTGTTATCTTTAAGAACTACTCATTTCTCCAAACCCAACCTAACACTTCCTAACTAATCAGAAGACCTACAACAGTGTCTTGATTTATAGAAGAGAGGAAGATTTTATTTCAAAAAGATGGTATGTGGTCAGGCGGTGGTGCATGCCCTTAATACCAGCACTCCCCAGCACCAAGCAGGCAGATCTTTGTGAGTTCCAGGCCAGCCTGGTCTACATAGTGAGTTCCAAGACAACCAGAGCCACACACACACACACACAAAATATCCTATTACATTGACAAAAAGCCAGGCAGTGGTGGCTGATGCCTTTAATCCCAGCACTCAGAAGGCAGGCAGATCTCTGTGAGTTTGAAGCCAACCTGGTCTATCAAAGCTAGATCCAGGACAGGCTCCAAAGCTACAGAGAAACCCTGTCTTGAAAAACCATAAATAAATAAATAGCTAAAATATATAGTGTAAACGCTGGCCCAGAGACTATCCTCTTCCTCCTACATTTCAAGGGCTCTCCCTCCATATGGTATGGATGGCCTGTATCTAATGCTTAGCTAACAACTTTGTGAATAAGGGCAACACAATGTGCCATGCTCTGTTCTAGAATACAGTGCTAACAGAAAAATAAAACAAACACGCCCCTATAGAGTTACATTTGATTTAGGGAGAAATATAAACAAGAAAAGTTAAGCTATCCTAGAAGGTTATAATCACTACAACAGCGGGCAGAATAAAAGATCACGTTCCGAGTAAGAAATGTTTATCCTACCCAGACCTCTGCCCATTCCTGCACCTGAGACTCAAATACTCAGACCCCAATACAAGACCAACACTGTATCAACTAAGTGGGCACTGCTGTCTGTGTTACTGCCACCCCAGCGCTCCTACCCGTCTTTCTGACTTCCAGGCTCCTGACTAGATCTCCGGTCCTATTTTTCCTACTGCCACAGTGACCCTCACTGCAACGAGACCATCACTACCTGTTTCGGTAACTTCACTGTGGCTTCCTTAACCTCAACCTTTTTGGTGACCGCCGTCCCCTTCCTCCACTGCCAAAGTCGGCAGAAGTCTTTGGGACTCCGACTTCAAAAGTCGCACTGGTCCTAGATAGGCAAGAAGCATTTGATGCGAGGTCTCTTTTCTTTGCAAACATCCCCTGTAGCTACTGTGGCTGCGGCACGGCGAGCCAGGACAGCAGAGATCCGGGAGGCAGAAAAGTCTAAGTTCCAACTTCAGAACTTCCTACTGCTCTCCTGTTGATCTTTCTGGGGTGCATTTCTGTATCTGTCACACGGTTGTCATCACTAACAGGCCCTCTAAGGCTTGTCACGAGACTTAAAAGGGCACACGAAGTGTTGGTGGCCGTCCCTCCACATTATGAAACCTGAGATTTCACTCCGCCGAGGTCCTGATCATGGAACCTCCCTGGACCGTAAATGGAGGGCAGTGGAGTCTGAGATACCGGCTGTGCTCGCGCTCCCTAAAATGTCCCTGTGCACGCGCGCGAGCAGTCAGCAACCTCGGGGTCGCACTCTCCCGACTGACGCGAAACGGGGACGCAGCCGGGGAAGTGGGGGGGCGGGGAAGCGGCCCCAAACCACCTCGGCTCGGCCCTACGCGCCACTTCGGCTCTGGCGGGCCCTGGTTTCCTCCTGCGTAGAAAGAGGTGGCGACCAACTGCTCAGCCCGCTTCCAGTCAGATCTGTCTCACCGGAACCTTGGAACCTTCCAGCACCCCTGCGCTGCACGCCGGTCCCCCTCGGCGCGGCTCCACCCCGGGTCCAAGGATTTCCCGCCCCAGGCCGGTACTCACCGCGGTGGGGACCAGGGATTTCCCCGCGGCTCGGGGCGAGCCGGGCCGCCTTCGGCCGCTATCCTTCAGGCTGAGGAACTCGTTGGACAGGTCCAGAGAGTCGGTGGCCGAAGAGGTGGTGGAGCGACTGTGCAGCTCCAGGCTGCTGCGGAGGACCACCATGGTGTCCCGCTGCGGGAGCCGGAATCCGTTGTGAGGGAGAGGGTGCGGAGCTCCAGGAAGATATCGCCTCTCAGGCGCTGGCGCGCTCTGAATTCTGGCGCCACAAACTGCGCTCCCAGAGGCCTCAGAGGACGCGCGCGCGCGGAATCCCTCCGCCGCCGGCCCCGCCCCCGGCCTCCGGCCCCGCCCCCTCCGCCGCTCCGAGACCAACAACCCGAGACTCTCCTCCCTTCTGCTGAGAGCCGGAGCCTATGCCGACGTGAGCTGGGACTCAAGCGAGCCGCGTGGAGCGCTCAACAGGAACTTGAGACTTCTTTCTTCCTTCTATAGTTCCGGCTCACCGCCTTCAGTGGAGGGAGACAGAGAGAGCTGTGAAGCGTCCTGTTTGGAATTTTGGCGCGTGGATTTGGAGGTCCTCTTTGGCCAGCTGCCGGCTACTTCCCGCCATCTAGCCTTCAAACGCAAAATAAATAAATAAATAAAATTTTAAAAAGTCCCTAGAGCACTTTGACTTTGAGACTGAAGAGCTTTTTGTTGATGAACGAATGAAAATAAATTAACTACCGGAAAGAAAGAAAACCTAATGGTCCTTAAAGAAAACTAAAAGAGTTGACAATAACTATTGGGATAGACAATCATACAATACATACCAGGGATAGAAACTGCAAAAATCTTATATTTTTAAAAGCTGCTAACTTGCTGTAAACTGTTAAAGACAATTAAGACATGCATGTTAATGGTCAGTCACCTTATAAATGATGGAATTCTTTAATGTGCTCAGAACTATGTAATCATGCTAAGTACAAATATAACTCATTTACAGAGACAAACTTTAGCCTTCTGTATATGTTGTCAAGGTTAAGCCTAAAACATAAAAATAAGTGTTTTTGTTTTTTTTTTTTGTCAGGTACTTAATAGATTAGATGACAACACTGCAGAATGCTTCACCCTCCACCAGGTCCACCAGGTCCCTGTCCAAATTGTGGGTACTGTTTGGTTGCCTGCTGTACTCTGCCATGCAAAAGTAGTTCTGTTCCCCAAAATTCTTCTGAAAGACTGCTGCTCAGTCTTTGAGGCTGCTGCTTGGAGTGCTGGTGCAAGACAGAGAATCTCTGCCACAAATAAGGTCATGTTGGAGTAGCCCAGGATGACTGTCCAGGTAGCAAGCAAATCTTGGTCGTTTTTAATTAATACAGAGGCCATTTGGCATAAAAAATTAAATTTAAAAGTCCTGCAAAACAAGTGATGTATAAATACCTCAATTTGATAAGAACAGACATCATTGAGCTTCTAACCTTTCCAGCTCTGCTTCTTTCTCTCTTTCCTTCCTTTTTTTTTTTGTTTTCTGTTTTTCAAGAAAGGGTTTCTTTTTAAAAAAAAAAAAATATTTATTTATTTATTTATTATGTATACAATATTCTGTCTGTGTATACGCCTGCAGGCCATAAGAGGGCACCAGGCCTCATTACGATGGTTGTGAGCCACCATGTGGTTGCTGGGAATTGAACTCAGGACCTTTGGAAGAGCAGGTAATGCTCTTAACCGCTGAGCCATCTCTCCAGCCCAAGACAGGGTTTCTTTGTGTAGCCCTGGTTTTAGCTCTGTAGATCAAGCTGACCTCAAACTCAGAGATCCGCCTGCCTCTGCCTCCCAAATGCTAGGATTAAAGGTGTGCACCACCTCCACCCAGTGGTTTTCTCTCTCTCTCTCTCTCTCTCTCTCTCTCTCTCTCTCTCTTTATTTATTTATTTATTTTTTGAGACAGAGTTTCTCTGTAACTTTGGAATTTGTCTGGGAACTAGCTCTCATAGACCAGTCTGGCCTCGAACTCACAGAGATCTGCCTGCTTCTGCCTCCCGAGTGCTGGGATTAAACGCATGTGCCTCCACTGCCCGGCAGTATTCTCTTTCTTAATAAACATTTTCTGCATGTCCCTGGCCCAATTCTTTGTTCCGAGACAAAAGAAACAGGAAATCCTGATGGGCATTTGTTGGACCCTGATTTCCATCTGTAATACCACTGCTTTCCATCAGCCTGAGTGCTGGCACTACATGCCTGTACCATCACGCCCATTTTATGTGGTGCTACGGATTAAATCAAGGGCTTCTTTCATGGTAGGTAAACATTCTACCAAATGAGGTACATCTCCAGCCACCTGCATTCTAATTAAAAAGGATTTATGCCAGCCATAATGCTTAGCCTTTGCTCGGAGAATGAGACAATTTCAAAGTGATGCCGGTTTTTGCATAGGGTACTGTAATGAGCATGGAAACAGATTCCTCTGAATGAACAAATAAAGGGGAATCTGTAGTGCAGATAGAGCAGGAAATTTATAGAGTAAGAATGAATGCAACCTGGTGTAATGGACAAGCATTTCTTCTTGTGTGTGGTGTGGAAAATTGCTAAGGTGAAATATTTAGAGGACATTTGTCCACTTGAAGGCTACCACACCCATCTGGCCCTGCCAGATGGGGAGGCTGCACACAGCAACCTTGGTAAGGAAGTAATCTTGCCACACGAGAGGGACCCCCACCCTTCTGTGGCCAGTCGATACTGATAACCTAGGACATCTGGTTATTGGAAGGATCAAACGTGAGGCAGCTTCAAACTGGCATAAAAAGAGAGGGCAGAAGCAGGGCAGTTATGTTACTTCTCACAATGGCCTAGGCATCAAGCCTCGTGGAAAGAGAGATCCTCTAAGCCTGCCTCCCGAATAGCAGAAAGATTTAACACCTTGCCTAAACATTTAATGCTCTGTCTCCCGAGTACAGAACTTCATCTCCCGAAAGTAGACATTTTACGCCTTGCATCCCGAATGCAAAGCCTCATTTCCTGAGAGTAAACATCGAAGAAGGTCTGTCTCCCGAGAACAGACAAGACACTCTGCCTTCCCGACTGCAGACAGAACTCTCTGCCTTCCCGAGCATAGGCAGAACGTTTTTTGCCTTCCAAGACCAGGCCACAGACTGGAATTGATGTAGCACCTGATAGCAACCTAAGAGCAGGACATCGAAACCTTATCTCCCAAGTGCAGACTGTGGACGGGGTCAAGAGTTAGCCTCGCTGTCCAGCCCCCAGCGCGGTCAGACGTCCAGCCTGAAGAAATTCAAAAAGCCCTTTTTAAGCTGAAGAATATTAGGTCATATGATGCTATTTAATGCGTGCACGAAATGTTAAGAAAAGAGCATAAATGTGTTAATACATATGTTAGTATATGGGATGTTAAGAGATATCTTATAGATAAGTGTTAAGTTGTATTAAGTTTAAGAAGTGTTTTATAGGTAATGGATAAGTTGTATTGAGGTTAAGAAGTGTTTTATGGATAAGTGATGTTAGATTAAGGTTATAAATTGGTTTTATGTATTAGGATTAGTAGGATTAATAATTGTGATATTGAATTGCCTGTGTGTTGCCCATCATCAATCCCCCAGGCCTATTAAGATTGTAAACTCCATTGATGCCTTGGATATTGAAGTAGCTAGTAAAGAATCATAAAAACAATTCTCTTGCTTGGTCTGGTTACTCATGGCTCTCTGGGGAGAAGGGCATAGAGTCCTCATAGGTATTACTCGAAAAGAACCTGGAGCTGAAGTCCCTCAGCTTGGAACAGGTACGTAGTCACATGATTCCAACATAGAAACCCCTAGCTGTGAGAGACTTAACAAAACATTAGCATAGTTTCTAAGAGCTGTGGCAGTAGGATGACTTCCCCTCCCTTCTTTCACCCCCATTAAAATGACCGCTTGGAAATTCTACTATTTGTTCTTGCCAACAGTTAATGATAGGCCCTGCCTGGCCTTCCACCCCACCCAAACACTTACTAAAAAGATCTTACAATTGTCAGTACGTATCTTTGACAATTCAGAAGTCTCTCTTAAGGACCCAAGAACCATTTGAAAGAGAATCAGCAGGAAGGGATATGGTTAACTCTTGAAGTCTCTGTGAGAGGACTGTACTTCAGAGAGCTGTGACGTCCGTGGTTATGTGCCGACAATAACTTGATGTGAGAAAATTGGTAAAGCCTTTGTATCTGTCTTGAACACCAGAGTGTTGGGATTGTTTTAAGGTGCACCAAAGCCTTGAGAACTCAGTTTAACCAACAATACATACAAACTCAATCCTTGTAGCACACCTATTTAGAAAACAGCATTGTAAACTTTATTTTACAGATGTGGAAACTGAGGCACAGGAATTAGGATGGTGAAGAAGTAACTCTGCTCAAGGGCACACACACTCATAGAACCTGCTAGATAAATTCAAAATCTAGGTATGGTGGTGTGGGCCTGCAATTCTACCACTCAGGTGATAGCCAGTGAGGGCCATATGAGACCCTGTCTCACCACCACCTTTGCACACAACCTCCAAAATAACCAAGAGACAACACAGATTAGGCAGCAACTGAAACTACAGACTAGCCGGGTGGTGGTGGCGCACGTCTTTAATCCCAGCACTCAGGAGGCAGAGGCAGATGGATCTCTGTGAGTTCGAGGCCAGCCTGGTCTACAAGAGGTAGTTCCAGGACAGGTTCCCAAAGCTACAGAGAAACCCTGTCATGAAAAAACAAAACAAAACCAAAAAGGAAAGAAACTACAGAGACAAATGTGTGCATCTAAGGCAGGCGCAGAGGACCCAAGACGTAACAGATTTGACAGTGGTTCCGCTCTATCTCTTTGAGGGAGGCTTGTCTTGTCTATGAGAAGGCAGATCAATTTGCTGGTACGGCAAGTGTGGGGTGATGTGCAGGTGCTGGCCTGAAAGGCAACCCCCAGAACGTGGTGGTTTTTTGTGTGTGTGTCGGGGGGTGTTGGACAGTGTGTGGGTCAGTCAGCAACCTGTGAAGGCACCTGAGTTTGAAAAGCAGAGGTGATACCCACAGCACCCGGGACAAGAGTACTAGGGACGGAAGAAAGAGACCAGAAGGTCCCTGTGTGACCTTACTGGCCACCCACAACCGTGTGCAGGCCTCCCCGAGCTCTGGTTTCTGCGTCCAGAGGGTGGAAGAAAGACTAAACCTTCAAGGTCACATACACTAGCTGTGGTGCCTTCCTAGAGACTGCAGGGAGCCTCTTTCTGAGAAAGATTAACTTCAGGCTCACTTTTTACTAAACCAGAACAGTTAAGTTTAATGACCTTCCCTCCCCACCCCCCAGAGCCTCCTTTGAAGCCCAATATTCAAGCTGAAGCAATAAATTGGTAACAGACACAAACACAGTTGTGGGTTTTTTGTTGTTTTTGTAGGATTTATGGGTTTTGGAAGGCAATTACCATTCACCAATATACCACCAGCACAGCACTTTATGGGTTTTGGGACTCGTGAGGTTGAGAGTCTGTGGGTGGCCTATAAACCAAGTTTAAGAATTACAGTTTTTTCTTTCTTTCTTTTTCTTTTTTGTAGGGAAGTTCCCTGAGCAATTACATATGTTCAGTGCAAGCACAGGAAACTAGCAAGTCTAAAGAGACAGTTCTTCATGCCCTTCATTCACTATGAATAAATAGTTTTGATAATTGGTGTCTTTCTTTCTGCAAATAAATATGATTAATACAGAATGCTATCCAGACTCTTTTTTCCTTTTTTTTTTCTTTTGGTTTTTGAGACAGGGTTTCTCTGTGTAAACAGTCCTAGATGTTCTGGAACTGGCTTTGTAGACCAGACTGGCCTTGAACTCACTGAGATTCACTCACCTCTGACTTCCAAGAGCTAGGATTTTTTTTTTTTTTAGGATCTATTATTCTTTTTTTTTTAGGATTTTTTTTAAAGAAAAATTCTTATGTAGCTCTAGTCTGCTACTATGTAGTTCAAGCTAGTCTTGCACTCAAAGCAATCCTCCTGCCTCAGTCTCCTGCTTGCAGGGATTATAGGGGCCCAGCACACCTGTTTAAAACTTTTTTACTTACTAGATCAGTCTGTCTTTCTATATATAGATACATTATAAATATCTAAAATCAAAAAGAAATTAAGTAACAATATGATGAGATTTCGGTGCAATCCCTCGAGTAGGTTTTTCTTTTTTCTAGGTTCTGGTTTCGCGTTCTAAAGCTTCAGCTTTCATTCCCAACCGGCTCTTTAGAGTCGCTTCTGGTTCCACACAGCTGTGTAGTATAGCGAGAGTTCCTGCAGATTTCCGTGGTTGGTTTGAGTCCAGAGAGTTAGCACGTGGCCTTGACCTGTCTTTTGCGACCGCTGTTTCTGGGTCCGGCACCTTTCGGTGTGGCGGTGTGAAGTCTGTAAATCTTATCTGAGCGATCTAAAGGTTCAAAGGCTACGCAAATCTTGGTTACGGAGGACTTTGGGAGCTTCAGATAAGAGGTTTTGGTATGCGGAAACTGACTTGCTAGAAGGTACAATAATAAAGGAGCCCTTGCTAAGCTACAGGCCGTCAGTTCGCTAGAGGCTGACTCTCCAGTTCATCCTGGAGTGTCTCTGTTTCTTCTTTCCACCGCCACGCAGGAACCCAACACAGCTGGCAACCTCAGCAGGGGTTGAAGGGGTGTCAGTAAGCTCATTCAACACTTCAACACCAAGCAGTCCCCACCTAATGGCGACTAGGTTCACGCAACACAGCGCACGAACCCCAGCTTGGCTTGGGCGGGGAGGGGGAGACCCTCACAGTGAAGCCCACTGTGCCACAGGCTCCACCCATCATGTAAGGTCTGACGAGAATCACACAGATCTTGGAACCCTAGGATATGTGCTCCCCCTGCACCCTCTCTTCCAACTCCATCTCAACCCCAGCCCGGGCTCCACCCACTCCCTAAGTCCCGCCCACCGGAACCACGCAGTTTTCTACATCCCGGACTCCGCCCTCACGCTACACTGGGTCCCGCCCTCCCGCCCCCACGCTGCACTGGGTCCCGCCCACCTGGCCCCGCCCACCCGGCTCTGGGCTTCTTCATCCGGAAGGCGCTCTTAGCGGTCCTGGCTCTGTCCTTTCCGCCTGGCGACCTGGCAGCGACTGCTGCCAGCGGTTTGTGTGCTTTTTGTGTGAGCCACAGCTTCGGGCCATGGAGGGGGACGGCCCCGCCGCTACGGCCCCGCAGTACCAGTCGGCCTGTCCTACGCGGGACGCATGTGTCTACAGCAGCTGCTATTGGTGAGAGAGAGCGCGGGCGCGGTGCCGCCACCAAAAGCTTCCTCCTCCCGGCCCTCTCTCGAGCGCCGGGCGGGCCTACGCTGCCGGGATTTGGCGTTTGGGAACGCACCCCTGGTCTCCTTAGCTGAGCCTGGGTGGAGTTGAAGGGATGACGGCAGTCCGCGCGTCTTGGTGCCTGGGAACAAAAAAGGGGAGTTAGGCTGTTGACCCTGGGTAACTGCAGAAGTCCGTGTGGTTTCAGAATGAGGTACAGGTCATTTTTAATTTATAAGACAAATGAAAACACAGAGTTTGATGTAGCGGGAAATCCAGCCAAGCAACAGTACCGCTATCCTGATCACTGTACTTGCGTAATGATAATGGTTGCATTTGTACTGTCCTTGCCGTATGCCGAACATTGTCTTGGGTGTTTCGTGTAAATGAACTCAGTTGAACTCCACAGTCACCCCAAGAGGCAGGTACTGTTGTGATCGCAGCTTTAGAGAACCCCGAGGCACGGAAAGCATGGTACGGCTGTTTTACTCAAGGCCCAGACTGTGAGGCTAGTGTCCTAGGCTGCCTCTGCAGCTCAAACACTGTTCTCTTCCTTTCCTTGTGTAGGAACGTCTTTCCCAACCCAAGTGCAACTTTAGGGTCATCTAAATCTACTTCTTACCCCCTTCACTTGGTCACTCAACCAATGATACTAAGAATTTACGTTTATTCAACTGTGACCACAAGTAGCCCAAGTCCAAATGCTTGCAGTGATTCTCAACCTTCCTCATGCTGCGACCCTTTAATACGGTTCCTCATGTTGTGGTGACCCCCAACCATAAGATTATTTCGTTGCTACTTCCTAACTGTAATTTTGCTATTGTTATGAATCATGATGCAAATACCTGATAATGCAAGGTATCTGATGCGGCCACCCGTGAGGTTGTGACCTGCAGGTTGAGACCTGCTGGAAGACCGTTGCCTTGGAGACAGTTACGCCAGTACACAGGCTGAGCTGTGGAATCACTGGTTTGTCCCATGCCACACCACTGAGTGGTGGAATGAAATCTGGAGTCTGTGTGATGGTTCGAGTCCTGAGAGCTGTTGCATTGTATATCTGCCCCGCCTGGTTCCCAAGTTCTGCTGGCTTTTACCCAAAGCGTTGGCTCTGTTTCTTTCATTTATTCAGTAAATATTTCTTAGGGATGTGAGACATACGTTGGGTGATTCCCAGCACCAAGGATAGAGCAGTGAATAAATCGATAAGTTTCTTGGCAAGATCTCAGTATTCTTTTTGTTTGTTTTCGAGACAGGGTTTCTCCGTGTCACGGGCTTAGTCATCCTGGACCTAGCTCTTGTAGATCAGGCTGGCCTTGAACGCACAGAGATCCTCCTGCCTCCCGAGTGCTGATGATAAGGGCTATAAGAACAGCAGGATGAGAGAAAAGATGGTGATCAATACTGCTTTGTATTAGGATATTTAAGGAAGACGTTGTTGGTAAGGTGATACCGAACGCAGGAAAGAGGGTGGGAGCTTTGTAAACATTAGAAGAAGATTGTGTCAGGCAGGGAGCACAGCGAGCACAGAAGCCCAGGGAAGGATGCCGTATTTCCAGGAGCCATAAAGAATGCAGTGTCTGGTGGAAGAGCGATGAGGTAACTGATCTCCTTTTGGCCCCTTCAGCCTCAGCAGAGCCTTCCTCTGCCATCCCGGGGACTATTCCAGTTGCTTTCTAGTAGGTCACTTCTCTGTGATGGTTCATACTGTCGATTTGACAGGGTCTTGAATCCCCCACGAGACAAACCTGTGGGGCATATCTGTGAAGGAGTTTCTCGGCTGGGTTGAGATGGAAGATCCACCCAAATGTGGTCAGCTACATTCCATCAGGCTGGACTGATGATGTCCCAGTCTGAATAGAAAGGAGAAGCAGAGCACCAGTGTTTATGTTTCCCAGACTTCGGATGCAATGTGACCAGCTGCTTCATGCTTTCCCCACTGTCAGACCGAGACCTATCCTTCCCTAAGATGATGCTAGCTGAGCAGTGGTGGCACATGCCTTTAATCCCAGCCCTCGGAGGCAGTCAAATCTCTGAGTTCCAGGCCAGCCTGTTCTATAGAATTAGTTCCAGGATAACCAGGGCTACACAGAGAAACCCTGTCAAACAAACAAGCAAACAAAAATGTTGCCATAGCAACGGAAAAAGTAACTAACATTCTTCCACTCATGCATCTTTATCCTTTGGCGGTTTCCTACTGCTCAAAAGTATTCTAAATTTGAATGTGTTGAGAATCATCTGAGAGCTTGTAAAATCTGTCCATTTTAGGGTACTACCCCAGAGAGTTTGAACTTACAGGGGGTACAATGGAGGAGTGTAAGGCTGCTTTGTTGATCTTTACTTTCTTTTATTATTATTTTTTAACGTGTATGGGTGTTTTGCTTGCATATCCATCCTTCTACTATATGTGTGACTGGCACCCAAGGAGGCTAGTAAGATCCCCAGAGACAGGGTTTAGTACTGAGTCCTTGGGAAGAGCAGCCAGTGCCTTTAACCGCTGAATCATCTCTCAAAAACACCTCCCCCGCTTTTTTTTTTTTAAGACAGGATCTCACTATCTGTCCTAAAACTTGCTATGTAAACCAGGCCGGCCTCCAAGTCACAGAGATGTGCCCACCCCCTTCTCCTGAGTGCTGGGATTAAATGCCTGTGCCACCATGCCAGGCTTGCTGATCCTATTTTGTGGAATATTCTTAGCGATAACAAAGTCCATCTGCATATCACCGGCTATCTGGTTTATTTGTTCAAGGCTTGTGTTTTTCCAACCTCATTTTGAACCTATTGCAGGGTTATCAGTCTTGGCTCTGTTGGCATTTTGAGTATCAAACCTTTGTTCCATTAATTTTAACACTTCCTGGCCTGTATCAGATAGATGCTATTACCAGTTTCCCCCAAGTTGTGACACACAAACATCTCTAGACATTGCTTGTCCTACTGTGATTGGCATATCAGTAGGCACACCTGACAGCATTTGTTTCTCCAGGTTCTTTTAACTTGAAATAAATGTTGCCTCTGTTGTGTTCTGGTAGGTGTTACTTACCAGATCCCACTTAATGATAAGTATTGAACCACCTAGGGTCCTGAGCTTGTCTTGCACGCCGTTGAGATGCTTTCCACCCCCAGCATTTCACTTCCATTTGTGTTGCTGGGGACTAGGGCTGCTCGCCTGGGTCTGCTTCTCTGAATTCAGCTCATGGGTAATGGCTGTGACAGTCTGGGCCCTTCTGTTGCTTTGTTAGCCTTTTTGCTGTGGATAAGATCAGCTAATACCCTGGAGATGCTATTATCATATCCCTCTGTCTTATTTTCCCATTTAACAGTTACGTAGATGCCAGAATCTGTAACATACAGAGCACTTTCTATTCCCGCTACTGCTCCTAGGATTTCCAAATATAAGGACCTCACTCCTACCTGACTCAAACATCAAAAGTTCTGTGAAAGGGTGGGGAGAGAGAAGACTAAGCTGTTAAGAACAGTGCTCATCAGAAGACTACAGTTTGATTCCCAGCAGCCGCATGGTGGCTCACACTGTCCATAGTACCAGTTGCAGGAGATCTGATGCCCCCTTCTGACCTCCTCAGGTACTGCACAGATGTGGTACACAGGCATACATGCAGGCATGACATCCCTACGCATAAAATAAATCTTTATTTTTTAAAAAAAATGTTCATGAGTTGTGTGTGGTGGCTCATGTCTGTAGGACTAACACCCATAGGCAGAGGCCAGGGGGTTAACCTCAAGTTTGAGTCTGGCCTAGGTTTCATAGCAAGTTCCAGGGCAGACCCTGTTTCAGATATCAAACAACAGAAATTTCATGATATTCCTTAACTTAGTGTTAAGTTGTATTACTGAAAAAATAATCGATGGCTGGGTCTAGTGTCTTTTAATCCTAACACCCAAGAGGAGGCAGAGGCAGGAGGATATTCATGAGTTTGAGGCTAGCCTGATCTTCATAGTGAGTTCCATGTCAGTCAGAGCTGCATAGTGAGACCCTATCTCAGAAAAAGGAATGCTTAGTTTTATTATTATTTTTACCCTATATAACATTCACAGAACTTTGAAAAATACTGAGCAGTGTGTATTCAAGCCATATCATGTATGGTGCCTACTAATGGTGCTTATGGACTCATGAGCTCTGGAGTAACTCCAGACCCGCCTGTAAGATAGCGACGGGGCCAGGAGAGACTGCTGACCTCTACCTCTGCTGTTCATCTTTTGAGGCTCTTTTCATCATCTAAGCACTTAGCTGTGCTTTGTGTCTCCTGTGTTCTTGAAGGTCCTTGGGGTGAAGTTCAAAATTCCTGTAGACCAGACCAACACGTGTCTTCTCAGAACCTGGATAGAAATTGAATGGGGTGTGCTCAGAGCAGGGGGCCTGGAGAATGGCTTCTCTGTTTACAACACACCCGAGAAGAATCTGGGACCATTGTAATGAGGGGCGCAGCACTGTGTTCTCTCTGGGAGCAGATCCCCTACATGAATTTCCCCAATTCATTCATGTGGCTTCCAGGAAAAACCAGTGGGACAGGACACAGTATTAGAGAAGATGCTCCAGGATTTAGCTGAGGAGGCAGGCCACTGTCTAGAGCATAGTCAGGTTCGTGTGTGAGGAGTCCATGGTGGTCTCAGGAATAAAGCCCGAGGCTGAGTTCTCTTTCACTACATGGATCCCCAGGCTTGTCCTTTACCCCTTGAGCTATCTTGCCATCCCGAACCTTTTTTACAGTGGTATTTGGGGGGAGCTAAAGGTACTTCAGCAGTTGTGAGCTGCAGTGTGGGTGCTGAGAATCAAACTAGGGCCCTCTGTAAAAGCTGTAGGTGCTCTTAACCACCAAGCCATTTCTCCAGCCCTATTTATTTTTGAAACAAGGTCTTACTATGTGGCTCAGCCTGGCTTTGAACTTGCAGAGTTCTCGCTGCCTCCCAAGTACTGGGACTAAAGCTGTGTACCACCTTTCTGACTGAAGGGAGTTTTGGAGCATCCCACCCCATACTGGAATTGCAGGCCTGTTCCACCATGACCTGCTAACTTTCCACTTAATCAGTGGAGAAGGAAAGGCGCAGAGAGGTCTCATGAGTAACTGGGAGAGAATGCAGGACTTGACCCTGCTGGCCTTCTGCTTCCTAATCCAGGCCTCTCTGCTGTCAGGAGAACACAGTACACTATCTTAGGTTATTGTGAACTGTGGCGGATGCTTGAACTTAGGGATTGAATTTTGTTCCATCGCCTTGATGTTGACTGCTTGAAAATATTTACGTGCATACGTATGTACGTACGTATGTCTGTCTGTCTGTCTCTAATTATACAATTAAAAAGGCTCTAAACCAGACATGGAGCATGTGTATAGTCCCAAGAACTCAAAAGGTCATCGGAAGTTTATAGCCAGTCTGGTCTACACAGTGAGTTCCAGGTCAGCCCAGGTCTACACCATGAGACACTGTTTCAAAAAGAAAGGAAGGAAGGGAATGCAGTCTGTATAAACATGCCATCATATAGTTTGTGAACTACAATTAAGGGACTAAATTCTATCTCAAATTTAATAAAAAAAATATCCTGTCATGGGCCTGGTGGTAGTGGCACATGCCTTTAATCCCAGCACTTGAGAGGCAGAGGCAGGTGAATCTCTGAGTTCAAGACCAGCCTATTTTACGGAGAGAGTTCCAGGACAACTACTTCGGTTACACAGAGAAACCCTGTCTCGAAAACAAAGCAAATAAGCAAAAGAATCCTGTCACATTTCTCAGACAAATGGGGAAATGTTAACTGGGATTTGTGGAGGGTTACGGTATGGTGTGAGAATGTACATTTTACAGAAGAAACACGTGGCTGCTTAGAGAAGCCAGAGAGTACAAACCTATAGCACGAATAATAAAAGCCCAGAAACAGGCAGGATTTAAGCTGAAGATCAGACAAGCCAAACAGCCAAACCACTAGAGAAGTCTTACCTCTACCACGGCTGGATGGCTGCAGACTGAGCCTCGAGCCTCTGTCTCCTGTTTTATATTCCCCTCTAGTGGTAGAATTAAAGGCATGACTCTCTAGTACTGATATTAAAGGTGTGAGCCACCACCACCTGAATCTGTTTCTGCATTGATTTTTGTGTAGCCCAGGGTAGCCTTGAATTCATAGAGATCCATCTGCCTCTGTCTCAAATCCTGGGATTAAAGGTGTGTGATACCACTGTCTGGCCTCTAGTGGCTTAGTTTTACCTTCTTATCTACAGGCAAGCTTTATTTATTAAAACATAAGTAAAATATTACTATACAAAGCTGCTTTTCTTCTTAGTGGTTGAATTAGATTTCAGTGGTTTCTCGGCTTCTGGAATCCTGGCATAGTGTTTTGCTGGCCACAGTCTCAGTCTTCAGTGGTGGGTGTGGTCCCTCTGTCTGGACCAAACACAGTACAGTTTGGCTAACATCTTCTTCATTGGTGAGTATGATTTGTCTATCTAGACATGTGTACACGGTATAGGTTGATTAGTAGCTTCAGTGACAGATGTGGTCTGTCTGTCTGGATGTGCACAGTACAGGTTGGCTAGAGGCTTCTTCAGTAGTGGGAATGGACCCTCTGTCTGGGTGTGTACACAGTACAGGTTGGCTAGCAGCTTCTTCAGTAGTGAGCATGGTCCCTCTGTCTGAGTGTGTATACACAGTGCAGTTTGGCTAGCAGCTTCTTCAGAGGGGAGTATGGTCCCTCTGTCTGGAAGTGTGCACAATATAGGTAGAGTAGCAGCTTCTTCAGTGCTGGGTGTGGTTCCTCTGTCTGGACATGTGCACAGTACAGGTTGGCTAGCAGCTTGTTGACTGTGCTTTAGAGGAGAATCATTGTTAGTCAGCAGTCAGATGAGTGGTCAAGGTCTTTCCCAATTATATCCTCACCATTCTTTTTTTTACATTCAAAAGACATGGCATGTTCACTTGTAATTATATAGTTTAAACAATTGTTTGTTTTGTTTTCTTTTTCAGTGAGGAAAACATTTGGAAACTCTGTGAATACATCAAAACCCACAACCAGTACCCCTTGGAAGAGTACTCCGCTGTCTTCATATCAAATGAGAGGAAGATGGTAAGTTGGTAAGTGATGACAGTGGAAATGAGATTGAGACCTCAGAAGCTAAGGGCAGTATGGAAGCTCTCCTGTTCTAAAATGTGCTTTGTAATAGCCTTTCAAACAGCTCTTTTTCTTTCTTCATTAAATTTGATTTAGAGGAATTTAGTCCCTTGAAGGTGATGAAGTATGTGATGGCATGTTTATACAGACTGCATTTCCTTCCTTCCTTTCTTTTTGAGACAGTGTCTCATACCGTTGCCCTTGGATGACCCGGAGCTCTAGTGTAGACTAGACTGACCACAAATTCGTGGTGACCTCCTGAATACTGGGATTGTAGGCGTGCTCCACTCTGGCTTAGAGCTTTTTAAATTGTATAATTAGAGCCATATAATAGATTTGAAGGAAAGATTTGTCTCTGAAGTTTGACGAGAGCTGGAGTGAACTTCCATGAAGCATTAGAAGAAGCCCTTTGTGTTTTATAAAGTACCTTTGTTGTCTTGTTTGGGGCTAATAGAAGTTCTATGAAATAGGCAAGGTGTAGACAACTTTCTTTCTTTTCTTTTCTTTTATTTTATTGACATGACTTTTGTTTTGGAGACCCGCTAGCCTCACTCTCATTATGTAGCTGAGGCTGGGATTTCAGCCTGTATCTCCATGAACTGCTAACTTTCTCCTCTTATCGGTGAAGAAGGAAAGATACAGAGAGGTCTCGTGAATAACTGAGAGAGAAGGTAGGACTTGACCCTGCTGGCCTTCTGCTTCCTAATCCAGGCCCCTCTGCTCTCTGGAGAACACTGTGCACTATCTGAAGTTCTTGTGAGCTCTCACTAGCACTTAGGACCTAAATTTTATTCTTTCACCTTGATGTTCATTGCTTAGAAACATAAACATTTTTGATTTTAGAATTGAATTTAGTTAACTTATTTATTTATCCTGAGAGATAGGGTCTCACTATGTAGCCCTGACTGGCTTCAAACTCAAAGAGAGCCACCTACCTCTGCTTTTGAGTGTTGGGATTAAAGGTGTGTGCAACTAAGTGTGCTTGGCTGATTTCTTCCTTCCTTCCTTCCTTCCTTCCTTCCTTCCTCCCTTCCTCCCTTCCTCCCTTCCTCCCTTCCTCCCTCCCTCCCTCCCTTCCTCCCTTCCTCCCTTCCTCCCTTCCTCCCTCCCTTCCTTCCTTCCTTTCTTTCTTAATGTGTACAGGTGTTTTGCCTACATACATGTTTGTGTACCTTGTGTGCACTGTGCCTGCAGAGGCCAGGACGGGTTGGATCCCCTGGCCCTGGAGTTACAGATGTTTGTTAGCTGCCATGTGGCTGCTCGGAGCAAATCCTAGGTCTCCTGCAAGAGCAACAGGTGCTAAACTGCTGTACCATCTCTGCAGTCCATTTAGGAATAGCTTTTTATTCACCAGTGTATTGGTGTAGAGAATCTACAAGGATTTTTTTGTTTGTTTGTTTATGTTTTTCAAGACGGTTTCTCTGTAGCTTTGGAACCTGTCCTGGAACTTGCTCTGCAGACCAGACTGATCTCAAACTCACAGAGATCCACCTGTCTCTGCCTCCCGAGTGCGGGAATTAAAGGCATGTGCCACCACCGCCCTGCTAAGAAGACTTTGAATGAAACCCTTACGTATCCTATATTTTGTAGGTACCTATTTGGAAACAGCAGGCAAGACCTGGGAATGGACCTGTAATCTGGGTAAGATGGCCATTTAAGAGCCTCTAATGCATTGTTCCTTGTGGCCTCTGAGTGACCAGTGTGCTGTGGTAAAGCAGAATTGAAGGCACACTGGAGATAGGCTATGACAGTTATTAATAAAAGGATCTTTTGAGAATGGATATTATTCTGTCTGTGGTAGAAGCACTATGGGACATGTATTTTTCCACCTTTTGTTTTGGGATCTGTAATGGTTTGTATATGAAATGTGCCCTGTAGGCTTGTGTGTTTGAATTCCTGGTCCCCCAGCTGGTGATGCTGTTCTGTGAGATTGTGGAATGTATGAGACCTGAGGCCTAGTTAGTAGAAGTGTGTCACTGGGAATGGCCTTGAAGGTGGTACCTGTTCTCTTATTCTCTGCCTTCCAGCCTGTCATCACGTGAGGAACAGTTGTCTTATATTCCTGCTGCCATGGACAATTACTCCCATCATTGTGCCTTCCCCGTAGAGTTGGTAGACTGTAGTTTCTTGTTGTGGGATATTTGTACACTGTGTGAAGATGGATTGCTGTGCTTGGTGTAATAAAAAGCTGAACAGCCAATAGCTAGGCAGGAGGTATAGGCGGGATTTCCGGGGAGAGAAAGGAAGATGTGGAGGAATCCAGGCCAGGCGTATGAGAGAAGCCAGGAAACACAGAGGAAACAGGAGGTACAGATGGAAGAGAGATGACATCATGTGATAGAGCGTAGGTTAATTTAAGTGGGTTAAGTTAAAAGAGTTAGTTAGGAACAAGCCTAAGCTATAGGCTGAGCTTTCATAATCAATAAGAAGTCTCCATGTCATTACTTGGGAGCTGGCTGGTTGGACAGAAGAAGACTCTATAGTCTCTGAAACCATGAACCCAAACAAACATTTCCTCACTTCCTTGTTTCTATCAGGTGTGGTTATGGAGCAGGGGGTGTTGACTAGTCGGGAGTTACACAGGGAGTCCGAGGCAGTCTCTTTTCTAGGCAGTCTTGGGTTGTGGAATTTTACTCTAGCTAGGCAAAGATGTGTTACATTTGTTTATGCTGCATTTGTTTAACTGTTAAAGATGTGTTGCTGTTTTATCTTGCCTGCCTTAGGCACCTGACTGGTCTAATAAAAAATTGAATGGCCAGTAGCTAGGCAGCAGAGGGATAGATGGGGCTGGCGGGCAGAGAGATTAAGTAGGAGGAATCTAGGCTCTAGAGAGAGGAGACAGAGAAGAGAACAGGGAGAAAGAAAGGGAGATGCTTGGGGCTGGCCAGCCAGACATGGAGGAAGCGGTGGAAGCGGGACATAGAATGAAAGAAAGGTAAAAGCCCCAAAGCAAAACATAAATGAAGAGAAACGGGTTAAATTAGCTTATAAGAACTAGCAAGAGACGAGCCTAGGCTAAGATCGAGCATTCATAACTAATATTAAGTCTCCATGTCTTAATTTGGGATCTGGTTGGTGGCCCAGAGAAAGCCTGCTACATAACAGTCTTGGCTGACCTGAATCTTTCATTTTTCCTGTCCTACCTCCCAAGTGCTGAGATTAAAGGCATAGACCATCATATCTGATTTATAGTAATGTTTATAAATGTCCAGTGTAGGAGAAAAATTTGTGATTTCCCAGTCTTGTATCTTTTCTGCACTAGGAACTTTTTACATATAACCTAGATGCACGTTTGATTTATCTGGAGACCAGTTAAAAGTATAAGTGCCATGTTAGTTTATCTGGAGAAGGGATCAAGATTTAGTATCCTCTTTTTTAGTATTTAACTTATTATTTGTTTACTGCATGTATGTGTGCACATGTGCGTGCCTGTGCAGAGGTGTGTGCAGAGGTGAGAACACCACCTTGACATGTTGACTCTCACCTGCTTTGCTGAGGTGAGTCTTTTGCTTCTGCGGCTGTCCTGCAGACTCTAGCTGGCTGGCCTGTGAGCTTCCAGGCTTACAGATGGTCAACACCACATCCGCAGACTTTTTACGTGGGTTCCAGGGACGGAACTTGAGCTGTCAGACTTTCATGACTATTTCCTTTTCCTACTGAGTCCTCCACGGCGCGAGATTTAGTATTCTTAACTAATTCCTAGGTAAATGTGACTGAAAAACAGGGTTGTTGTGGAGGGGAATGTAAGGGTCATCAGACCGGGGAGGAAGTCGGCTGTCAGAGGGGCAGCAGCTCCTAGCTCATCTGGAGGGAGAGAGTGTACTTGGTGGATTCCATCTCTGCTTTCCTTAATTGCAGTGGGAGCTGAAGGTCGACTATCTTTCCCATCTCATAGGTCAAAGCAGCACTAGTATTCTGTGTAAACTATGGTGTGCTGTAAGAATGTCTGGTGCTGGTAGCGTAATTTTAGACTGAAAATCATTTTGGTGTATTTTCTCCATGAGAGCATTTTTCCTGGGTTTGAAGCACCAGCCTGCACACATGCTCCTTGAGAACCCTATGGTGGTCCTAGCCATCAGCTGGTGTTAGCAGTGCCCTGTGTCTGGAAGTGAGAGCGGGAGGCAGCACCTGTTCTGTCGCCGAGCAGGGCGGTGGGAGCTGTCTTTATTTTCCTCCTTCAATGGCTGCAATGAGAGCTTGATGGCTTTGTTTTAATTTAGTTTTTTTTAAATAATTTATTTTTATTTCACGTGCTTTCATGTTTTGCCTGCATATATAAGTGTGAAGGTGTCGGATAACCTGAAACTGGAGTTACAGGCAGTTGTGAGCTGCCATGTGGGTGCTAGGAATTGAACCTGGGTCCTCTGGAAGAGCAACCAGTGCTCTTAACCACTGAACCATCTCTCCAGCTCCCTTAATTTTTTCTTTTAATTAGAAAAGTAATAAAAACTGGAAATTAGTGTCCTCTTCAGGCTACACTTAGGAAGACCCCTCTGTTGGGAGTTTGGGGGGACAGTCACTTTCACTACCCTTAGGAGACTATGCTGTTGGCTTTAACACATTTTTTTTTGTGGGACATTAACTATCCAAAGTGAGGATGAAGATCTATGTAGACTTCTGAATTTATATGTGTGAAATGAATGCATATATACTTTCAAATGCACATGTGTGTCTTTACATAACCAAACTTTAAAATATAATACAGTTTTTAAAATATAAAACAGTTTTTCTGTTCATTTATAGAACATGGGCTATCCACATACCTATGGGTCAGACGCTTTCATTGTTCAGCCATTTTCCAGTCACTGGACAGTTTTCTGTTTGGGCGGTTTTGTCTTTTATTATTTTGTTTGGCTGTTACAAGGAGGGTGATATTAGTCCGATAGCTGCTTTCTTGCTAATGCCTGTGCCCTGGTCCTGCAGTGCTGGCACTGACTGTCCTGCACTAACTAGGTTAACCTCAGTGATTATTGTTCCTAGGATTACCATGTCATCCTGCTTCATGTGTCCAGTGAAGGACAGAGCTTCATTTATGATCTTGACACTATTTTGCCATTTCCCTGCCCTTTCGACATTTACGTAGAAGATGCCCTTAAGTCTGATGATGACATTCATCCACAGTTTAGGAGGTGAGGAAATTCAGTACAAAGTTACTGACTTTCTGAAGTAAGACTTGGTGATTATGCAGAAGTCCTTCTGTCCCTCCCTCCCTTCCTCCCTCTCTCCCTCCCTCCCTCCCTCCCTCCCTTGTCTTTTCCTCTCTTCCACTCTCCTCCCTGCTCCTCCCCGCTCCTCTTTCCTCTTCATCTCCATCCTCCTATTTCCTCATTATTGATGTGCTTGCTCTACAAGAGTTTAAGAGTATCTCAAGGCTCTAAAGGCTTTATGTAAAAGGTGGTGTTACAAACATTAGTGCCATGAGGGCCAGCCAGGCCTGAAGACTGGACTTCCATCCCTTGGATCCACGTGGTGGAAAGAGAGAATTGATGTCTATAGGTTATTTCTGACCACACACACGTGCGTGCACACACTCACTCACACACACACACACACACACACGCACACATACTCAAATAAATATGTTTAAAAAGTGAGCGTGATGATCATAGACCAGACTGGCCTTGAACTCAGAGGTCTGTCTGCCTCTGCCTCCTGAGTGCTGGGATTAAGTGCACCACCTCCACCCTGCCAGATTTTTATCTTGATTGCTGGAGTATGGCTAGAGCATGGCTGATGTTGTCAAACTCAAGAAAATTAAAAGGCAACAACAAAAACAAACAAACAAAAAAACCTATCCTTTGCCCCTCCCCCCCTTTGCAATTGAGTAAATAAAAACAGCTGGATAGATTTACTCTTATACTTTCATAGCCTTGGGTTTCAGTCTTTTCCTTCATCTGATTAAACAGGTAATCAGCCATGTACATGTTGTGCACTAGTAGAGTGCAGAAATTCTTGAGCAGTTTTGTGTATGCCATAGAAAGAGTCCATTGTAGGAATGAGTTAGAACGCCAGCCACGATACCTCCCTGATATAAGTGTATATTGATTTATCTGCAGGAAATTTAGAGTGGTTCGTGCTGATTCCTACTTGAAGAACTTTGCTTCTGACCGGTCTCACATGAAAGATTCCAGTGGGAACTGGAGAGAGCCTCCTCCAGAGTACCCCTGCATTGAAACTGTCGGTGAGCCAAGGGTGTCCTTTCAGGGGCTTCTGCCTGGTCGCTGCTCAGATCAGCGTTTCCCTTAGTCAGTTTTTGGATAAGCTCCCCGAGTGGTGAGGATTAGTGGATTCAGGAATCGAGGCACAGAGAACAGGACTGGAGGGCAAAAGCACTCTTGGGGGGAATAAGTGCTGGGGCACAGAGCCATGATGTAGCAAACTGCTCGGTTATTGGCTGTATCTGCTGGGATTCTGGCATCACATCTGTGTGTCACATAATAGCGCTATCAGTAGCACATTGCCGTGGCGGAGTTTCATGGACTGTAAAAGCCATCCCCAGTGCATCCTTCTGGCGTGGGAAGAGCCATTTTAGTAACCTTGTACTAAAGCCTGCCTCAAGAGAGCTTTATCACAGCTCTTGCTTCCTTTCTGTACTTCTGAGCAGCGGTCCAGTTGAGGATGCCCTTTGACTGTTGCTCAGCGGTCATGTGCTTTTGACACATTATCTGTGACTGGAAGTCATTCACAGCATTCCAGTTATGGGTGAGATCATCCCTTCACGCAGTCTACAGGAAAGCACCCGCAGGCTGTGCAGGCTTCTGCAGAAACAGCAGGGGCATCACTAGCTCTCTGAGGAAGAAAGAAGTAGTTAGCGTATTTGGAGGGGGTGGCCATTTAAGAGGAGTGCTGTGTGTTTGAGGTGCAGACATCGCAGAAGTGATCTTGAGCCCTTGCTCATTTAAATGGGTTCCTCATCTCTTCTGTTGCTGCTCACCTGTGTCAGCAGACATTTCTTTCCTGTTCTTTTCTAGACTCCAAAATGAACCTGAATGACTTCATCAGCATGGATCCTGAAGTAGGATGGGGAGCTATCTACACGCTGTCAGAGTTTGTACATCGGTTCAGCAGTAAAAACTGCTGAACCTGATTCTAAAATGTGGGACTGGAGAGGTTCTAGGCTATGAATAAGCTGTCTTTTCATGGTACATGTACTTTAGAGGTATATTTTTTCTTATTAAATTTGAGTGGAAACATTAATGAATGCAAATATAAATGAATGTTCTCTCTCCCCACCCCCCCTTTTTTTGGCTTGGGAAGCTATCCCGGAGTTCTGTCTCCAACCCTAAGTTAGTCAGTCCCCAGCCTCAGACACAGACAAACAAGTAAAATAAAATCTTTCCTATTGATATGCCACATACAGCATATAGTCGCTAAGATATTCCCATGACTTACTTGTTTAGATGTGCGGTAACCTAGGCCAGCAATTGCTTTTGTTAAACTAAAAGTGTGGACTTGGAGCCAGCTCCTGTTTGCTCCCTCTGCTTCCTGTCCTGCTAGACTCTAAACTCCTTGAGCAGAGGGTTGTGGCCTTGACTCTGAGAACCTCTGTTACCCATTAGAGGTACCTGTAAAATATTCCAGAGACAGCTCTGCTGCTCGGAAAGGACGCTATTGTGAGCTGAATCAGCTATAAGTATTAGTCTTTTTGGACTATGATGTTTAAAAAAGTTGCAGATATTTTGACTGAGTGTTATTTGGCCCATTTATATGCATAGTTTAAATAAAATTGACTTAAAATTAGTTTTGTTTTTGACGATTTTGTGGCTTTCTTTTTTCTGAGGTGAAGTTGAGCAGTGTTGGTAACTGAATTCAGGGCCTTGTATGTGTGGCAAGTACTGTACCACCGAGGTACCCCTGTCACTCTTCTTATGTGTATGTGCTTGCGTGTGTGTGTATGTGTGTGTGTGTGTGTGTGTGCGCGTGCGCACGTGTTCACCATCTTTTTCAGTGACTGTCCTTCTTATTTTAGGGGGAAGGTCTCGCTGATTGGGCTAAACTGCCTGTCCAGTAAACCCTGGGACTCCTCTTGTCTGTCCCCTCAGCTTGGGGTTATAGGCACATGCTGCCCAGCTTGGCTTTCTGTGTGAGCTGGGGTTGAACTCAAGTTCACATACTTATGGACTTAACCACTTTACTGACAACCATCGGTCCCTGTCCTCTTTATGTACTCGTGATCAGAAATACCTGAGAATGTCCCTGTCATAGATAAAAACATTGCGTTAAATACATTTAGCACACCTGCCTTCTTGAAGATACCTTAGGAATTTAACTTCAGTCTTATAATTTTAAATAAAGATTTTGTATGAAAGATGAAAGGAATAGTTATAATGTCTCTCATTCGTAGTTCTGCTGTAAAATTAAAAACCATTCTCTTTTGAGACAATCTATTGTGGAACATATGCTGGCCTGGTAGTATTCCCTGTGAAGTCTGGGCTGGTCTTGAACTCATGACATTCTTTTGCTCCAGCATCCTGAGTGCTCCACCACACCCAGCTTAATGAGCAGTTTCTTACAGTTAAGTATATATAAACTTTTGCTTGTAGATCAGTTTTCTATTTAATAAAATTTTCATTTGACAGGAGTCCTCTGCCTTGTTCTGTGACAGTGATTTACTCAGGGGTCTTGTTAGGTTAGGAAATGTCACTTCCCCATTGGGTTCCTATGTTTAGGAAGCCATTGACCTTTTATATAAGAACAGGGAAATGTCTTTTTTTTCTTTGTGTGTGGTAATGGGTACATATGGGTATATGTGGAGACCAGAAGTCAACTTTTGATGTCATTCTTCAGTAACTGTCCACCATTGTCTCTCACTGGGACTGACTGGCTAATTCTGCTAGCTTGATTGACCAGCGAACTTCAAGGATCTTCCTGCCTCTGCCTCCCCTGGTTGGTATTACAAGTGGAATCCTACCTTACCTGACTCTTAAAATTTTTTTTAGCTGGCTGGTAGTGAGTGGCTCATGCCTTTAATTCCAGTGCTCGGGAGGCAGAGGCAGATGGATCTCTGTGAGTTCAAGACCAGGCTGGTCTACAGAGAGAGTTGCAGGACAGGCTCAGAAGCTAAAGAGAAAAGAAACTCTGACTCAGAAAACAAACAAACAAAACAAAAGATCTGGAGATATGGTTATTATCAGTTGATAACATATCATTCTTGCAGAGGATCTGAGTTTCATTCCTAGTACCCATAGCAGGCAGCTTACAACTGTCTGTAACTCCGGAGAATGCTTATAACTTCAGGTATGTGTGCGTGTGTGTGTGTGCGCGCACACACACACACACACACACACACAAATAAGTAATCATAAAATATTTTTAAATTCAATATTTTAATGGGGGTGTCCCAATTCAGCACCAGCACCTGGGAAATAAGTGATCAAACACTGGCAACTCAATTCTGTTTCTTTTTGCAAGACTTACACCATCCTTTTACAGACAGGTTCTTCATGCCTTAACTCCAAGCTTTATTCTACCTTTTGGTATGAAGTGCATGTTACAGATCACTTTTGCAGATAGCAAAGGACACCAGGGAATTGGCTTAATTACTTTTATTCTTTCATTCTTGGTAAACATCTAGTTCCAGCTCCTGGTCGGAAACATGGATGTAAAGCTTTGTCTGGTGTCTCATACTGAGACTCACGGACACAATGTTTTCTCCCTTCCCTTTAAGCTAACCAAATAGCCCAGTGTTGGAGGGTGAACTGGAGACTGCCTTCCCCATCATCTTGCACATCAGCAGGTGTCTCATGGAGCATGACTTTTAACAATACCTGTTTTTATCAAGGGAGGAGTACTAGCAACATTTCACTTCAAGTCAATAGATAGCATTCCTGAGGTTTCCATGGGGACCTGAGGCTTAGAACAATTTCTGGGAAGAACGTTGGAAGCAAAACGAAGGGCAGGATGTTAACACAGTCGTACCGTGCTGGTCCACATCTCTCCTGCAGATGTGTGATATATATATATATATATATATGCGTCACCCCATCAAGACCCACAGGATACGGAGCTACATTCAAGCTCTCTGCAACCAGATGCTGAGATCTTGTCCCTGTATGCAGATTACAAGGAAAGAAAATGTCCTACTTCAGTCGTAGCTCTCCATTACTGCTTGACACTTGCTGATCCAGGAAGCCTCTTGTCTCCCTCGACTGCCTCACCCGATAGAGTTGTTTTGAGGCTCAAATGATACTGTATAGTTGGGGGGAGAGAACTTGGATGCCGAATGTCTTCCTCCACTTATTGAAGCAGGATCTCTTGTTGAATCCAGTGTGGTTTGGGGTGGGGGGCTCACTTTTGCCTCCCTGCTGGGGAGGATTCTAGGGTCCAAATTCTTGGTTCTGTGGTTTCTGTTGGCTGTGATGAAGCCCTGTGACCAAAAGCAATTTGGGGAGAAAAGGATGTATTTCACTTATGCGTCTTCCATGTTATTATAGTTCCATTTTACAGTTTATCATTGAAGGCAGGCAGGGCAGGAGCCTGGAGGCAGGGGCTGTTGCAGAGGTCATGGAAGGGTACTGATTACTGGCTTGCTCAGCCAGCCTTTTCTTTTCTTTTTTTTTTTTTTTTTCCAAGTAAAAAGATTTTTTTTAAAGATTTACTGCCAATTGAACTCAGGTCTTCTGGAAGAGTAGCTGGTGCTTTTAACCACTGAGCCATCCCTCCAGCCCTCGAACTGCTTTCTTATAGAACCCAGGACTACCAACCCACAATGGGCTGGGCCCTCCCCCATTAATCACTAATTAGGAAAATGCCCTCTAGGCTTGCCTACAGCCTGATCTCATGGAGGCAATTTTTCAGTTGAGGATCCTTCCACAGATAACTAGCTTCTGTCAAGTTGACCTAAAACTAGTCAGTAAATCCTCATGCTTGTATGGATCCAGGGAGCCATCTCTCCAGCCCAGATAAAACACTTTGAATTGCCAGGAGCCTCATAGGTGTTGGTTACCTGTAAACTGTGGTGTACATGAACTCATTTAATCCTCAGACTACAACATAAGACACTATCATTTTCTCCCTGTTAGAGACAGGAAAACCAAGGCACAGTAATGTAAAATAACATACCCAAAGCTACACAAGTGGTGACTGACAAAAACCCATATATATATATATATATATATATATATATGTGTGTGTGTGTGTGTGTGTGTGTGTGTGTGTGTGTGTTATACCTACAAGCGTGCCTGTGTACCATATGCATGCTGTGCCTGCAGAGATGAGAAGAGGGCCTTGGATCCTGGAACTGAAGTTCCAGCCATCAGGTGGGGTCTGGGAGTCAAACCCCTGCAAGGCCAGTGAGTGCTCTTAACTGCTGAGCTGTCTCTCCAGTCCCTCAGTTCTACTTCACATTCTGTAATCAACTTCACCATGACTTTGGCTACTTGGTGGCGCATGCCTTGTAACTCAGCAATTGGAAGACGGAGGCAGGGGCATCAAGAGTCCAGTGTCCTTCCCGTCTACACAGCAAGCTTGACAATGGTCTATAAGACTCTTTAAAACCCCCCAAAAGATGTCTTCAGTGGGGCTTGAATTCAAGTCTCCAGCATCTATGTGAAAGATAGGTATGATGGACCATGTCTTTAACCCTAGCATTCGGGGGTGCAGAGACAGGTGGATCCTAGGGGCTGCCTAGCCTGGCTGAATCTGCAAGCTCCAGGTTCAATCAGAAACTCTGTCTCAAAAAATAGACTGGTACGCTATTGAAGTGTTGAGCTCTGGCTTCTACATGTGCACACCCCTACACACACGCACACCCCTACACACACACACACACACACACACACACACACACACACACACCGGCAACACCCTCCAAAGCAAAGAAATGTTAAAGAAACCTCCCCTTAAGTATGCATTTACCCACTTAAACTTTTTAAAAAATGAATATAAATTTTGTCCTCCCTTTTTTGAGACTGGGTCTCACTGTGTATCCCTGAATGTCATGGAACTTTCTTTGTGGACTGAAGCCATGTGCCCGACCCGAACACAAGTATTTTAACAAGTGCAGCTTTAACTACTTTCTGCAGTTCAAATTTCATTAATCAAAAGCAGGAGAAGCTACGCCACACTTGTTCTGTTTTTCTGCTGTTAGCAAGACTTTTTTTTTTTTTTTTGGTTGCATTTTCTTAAGAGGCTCTCCTGTGGCCCAGGTTGGCCTCAGCTCATCACATAACCCTCAGAATTTAGTCTTGCACTACCATCCCTGCTCTTATGCAATGGTAGGGATCCGCTCGGAACTCTGTATGCTCACACTCTACCCACGAGCTTCCCCGTCAGTCCTTTGCTAGCTTGTTCATTGGTTCTGACCATTCTGACTTGGCTGCAAGGTAAGACCTTTGGACAGCTAAGGCACTGACCGTGTACTTCTACAGTGTGTGTTCCTATGCCCTGAACAACTTGGAGCTGCCATTCAGCACAGAAAGGCTCAGAAGAACCTGAGCTCATACACAGAGAGGGAACCTGGATAGCAGGTAAGCCAGATAGGACAATCAGACTCTTCCCTACTGTTCACTCCACACCATACTTCAGGGTTGTTACTGTTTTTGTCCATAAATAAAACTTTATTGAGCATTGATAATAGGTCACTGTCGCATACCTTATAAAACTAAACATCACATTGTCTTGGCAAAGTAACTGGACTTTAGGCTGTCTGTGAGAAAAATACAGATTCAGGAACTCATGTAGCTTATCAGGATTCATTTCATTTCTTGTGGACAAACAGCCTGTGAATCTGACCTTTGCTC